AAAAGCCTATCGGAAAGGCTGCAGGTAAGGCTTGCTCCCCGCCATAGGCCGTTATCAAAGAAGATGCACATTCAAGTACAATGATGAACCAACCTGACTTCCTGAGCTTTTCCTGATGAGTAGAAAGATGTATACGGTCGAGCTGGCTTGGCTGATATTGAATTTCCATAAGACATTCAGAAGCTTTTTTCAGTCATAGAGATTTGGTGTACCATCCGCTATGGAAGTCGAAGCAAAAGATCGTCATAGGATTCCTCATGGTCTGATGCAGAGCCAGAGTGGGCACCCTCTCCTCCGATTCGACAGATCGAAGAGCAGCCGGGCGGGATTGTCTTTTGAAGATTGGAAAGCAGTCAGTCTGAACTTTCTTATCACACGAAGGCGCATTAAAGCCAGAACGAGTCCTCTCTTGCAAGATTCTAGGAATGATTTAAAGAAAGATCTCCGCTCTCCTAGTTGCTAAAGAATCCGGAGCTTCTTTTTGATCGTGACATAAATTCGAGATTTACGCCAGTTCCTGCGAAGTGAAGTCATAGAAAAACCAACTATTGAGGATCGATTACATTGAGGATTAAGCTGACACCTCTCTTTGATGAAGCAGCGGGCGTACTTCCATGTCGTCTGACGAACTAAACCGGTAGTCTTTGACTGGTTTCTAGGCCGGTTTCCTTCTCTTTATCAACCAAACTACTAGCTTACAGGTTGGCTGGCTATTCTATCAACCCTGTGCCAAATAGTGCTACTTTATGTTCGGTAATCATCCCGTCTTCCTAACAAAAGAAGTCAAAGAATGTGAGTGGGGATGGCTGTTCATAAGGTGGAGGCATAACCTATTGAAGAAGGGTTACCCGAGAACTTCTTGATTCTATCTCCGGTGAGAGAATGTCTATAATGAAAGAGTGAATTTCAATGGCATTTCTAGTTGAACTGATAGCTAACTCAGTTGTGAAGTTCGGGCTCTCTCAACTTCGTCGACCCTTGAGTCCTCTCCGCACCTCTCCCGCTTTTATCATACTTTAAAGCGAGTCAATTTCCTCTCAACGAACGAAGCGAAGCGAAGTCATAGAAAATACAAGTCCAAGTAGTTCATCCGCAGAAAGAATGTTCCTGCGCCGGGAACCGGAGAAGATTAGGAAAGAGGTATGGTGGAGGCATAGACTAAAAGAGGAGCTTCTCAATTACATCGACCCAACGAACGAAGCGAAGTGAAGGAAAAAAGAGATGTATGGAGCCTTGCCTTGTCTTTTCGATTGCTTTCTTTCCTCATTTTGAATGCTTTCAACCGAGGTTCGATATAATTGACCAGCTGGAAATTGGCTCAAAGGTCACACTAGAGTGGCTCCCGTCTTCCTTCACTCGAGGCGCGATGATAATTGCCCTTTGCACTCTTCCATCCAAACCTTGGTCGTTAAGGTGGGGTGAAGCAACTAATGCTCTATCTCTTCTAGACCAGACATCACATCAACCATTGTTTTGGAGTAAACGAAGCTCTCACTTGAGCCGCATGCTGGATTGTCTTTCCTGTTGTCGGAATAAGCGCTCTTTTAGCCTTACTCTTATCTTTTATTTAGCATCCCGACACTCCTGAGTTAACTGAGCTAATCCTGACATCTATGGTACTGGACGTGGAAAGTCAGTAAATAATACAATTCAAGTGTACCATCTTCTTTCTCATTTCGAGGAAAAGCTGGTAACCGCATCTAAGCATATACTTTAATTGGGAGGAAGACGCCTATAAAGAGTACTTAGCCGTACCTTCTTCGCTCCTTAAGAGCATATTGTCCCCGCTCCTAAATAGGAAGAAGAGAGATCTTGCCCGACCCTTAACTAAAAGAAAAAGGAAGCAGGAACCCTGTCCCCCTAGACAATCTTTCTACGATGCTTCTGGGCTCTAAGGAAGGAGTGGGGCATGGGAAAGGAAGACTCTGGCTGCAAGGGTAGCTTTCGTCGATGTTGTTAACAGGTCTTCTATAGTCTCGGGGGAAAGAGGCTCTCCTTTCAAGAAAGCTGGGATTTAGGGCTTAGCCTACCACCTTTTTATCTGAGATTACCGTGGGTGGGAAGAGAATCAATTCATTCCGATCGGGCTTTTCCTGGTAAATGTCGGAGATTGTCGGATATGAGCTTCTAGTAGCCCTGCTTCCAACTGCGCTTATTCCGACCGTGGCATGAGATTCTTAATCTTAAACGGATCCATTTATTTCACTCGTCTCCGCCCTCGGAAAAGCATGCCATGAATGACTCTTGCCCTCGGCTCACTTCTCCTCAACTTCTTCTTTTTTTCACATGAGACCCAACGAACTTTTCGAAGCGCAGTGAAGTCATAGAAAAGCCCTCGCTTTGTAGGCGGAAACTTTCTCTATTCTAGAACTTAAGGTTTCTACTATTTCAACGGCATCCAACAGGAATGGAGTAAGGCGCTGCCGATACGCATCTGCAGAAGGCTGCTATCTTCATTCCGGCTTATTGACTTGCGAATAGAGAGAACTCCACCTACGTATTCTCTGATTGGGGACCGAGGAAGTGTATGGCTCTTCTGTCCCCATCGGTTGATATAAACTTGCTTTCTTCCTTATCACAACTAGCTGACTAACTTCGATAAAGGGAGTCGCTAAAGAATGAAAAGCATGGGATGAAGGCTATGGCTACTCTTATCTTATATGGCTACCGTCAACAAGAAAACTGCCCACTCGCGGCACACTTGATATATCTAGTCAAAGGCCAAGTATCATCGTTAAAGGCAGATCTACTAAAGGAGAGGTCAATTGCATCTTTAGAAGCGAAGTGAAGTCAAAGAGTAAGATTCATTCTTCTCATAAATGGACACCGGAATATTCCTCCGCCTATGAGGCATCGACCCAACTTTAGAAGCGAAGTTCAGATCGGCGCAGAAGAGGCTGACGTAATATGTAATTATTTAATCCGCTTCTTACCAAGAACTATGTTCATTGCTTTCCACTCTAATTGGCTCGTTCACACTAGCTGCCTTGACTTGATAGGGTCGCTTCTGAGCGGAAATATCCACGACTTCCTGCTTTGACTCGTTCGGTTCACTTCTTCGCCTAAAAGATTAAATAGAAGCTGACCGAGAGGTTTGGCTTGCCTCACCTCGGACGACTCAGGATTCCCCCGGAGCGGAAGAAGCAAGGCTGGGGACTTCAAATCCTTTATCCCAGTTCCTCTCCTGGCAACGTCGAGACTCACTTTGCTCTCCTTATGTGTTAAGCAAATAATCAGGCGGGTAGGACTTTGGGTATTCGACCGAAGCCGGTCGCTTGGCAGACTTGGAGGATCAGCAGGACTTTTTCTTGAAGAAGAATTTCTTCCAGCTCGGCCGTCAAAGTTTTCTCCAAATGGGCGATAAAGTGGATTGGTGGGTCTGCGAAGGCCCTTCCACTCGGCACCGTCGGATCACTAAGGCCGACTTTCGTCCCTGCTCGACGGGTGGGTCTTGTTTGGAACCCTTCTGCCTTTGCAGAAGTAATTCTCGATCAAATATCACAAGTAAACTTGCCGGCTACACAACAACAATTTCATCGCATCGGATTCCACTTATCGTTTTACCAACTTTGAGGAGACCACAGGAGGGTTGGTTGGGTTAGAAGCTTTTTCCAGTCACGGAGCTCTCTCCTTTTTTAAAAATGATCCAAAATGGAATCATCGTGAGTCTTTCAGTGATGACTAAAACCCGTCTGTCTCCGGTCTCCGGTCTACGGTCTATGGCCTCCGGGTCTTGTTCTAAGCCCACGGTACTACACCCCTACTTTCTTTTTGAAGAGTTGGTCCATCATTGATACAGAGCTGGAAATCCGGTTTACTCTACAACGACCGGGTCCCATCTAGAAATCTATCTTTGTCTATGTCTTCAATCACGCTAGTCTCGTTCTTGAGTGGGGGGTCGTGGAAGAAGTGGGGAGAACATTCCTTCCTCGCCCAGACTACTTGGGAATATCTCCATTATCTGGATCGCAGGCTGGAAGGCGATGGAACTGCCCCTAGGAGAGAAAGTAAGGAGACGAAGCCCTTCAAGGAGGCCGGATTTATCAGCGTGAAGTGGTCGGGTTCACTCCTTCTAAACACGGGGATTTTAGCCGTAACTCGATTGGGCGAGCTGGCCGACCACTACATAAAACGCCATCAGTCCAGTTCGTTCGCTCCTATTCGTGGAATGGAAGAGAGAGAGATTGTGAGATAAGAATAGGAAGCATGAGGAATCCTATGACTCATGCGATAAGAGATAAGAAGAAGAGGAAAGGGGGAAAGAAGGGCTTTCAAAGCCCGTTTCGAGCTCTATTTCTTCTTGTTTTCCTTGCTTGCTTGACGTCCTTTTTCGACTAAGGAAGAGGCAGACAGAGCAAAAATAGCCTATTCTATCAGGGAACCAAGCGGATCAAAAAGAACAAGGAGCTCCACTCATAAGAGGTATTTGAACTGCAGCTCCCATCCAGGCTATAGTTCGAGGAAATCGGGATCGGGAAGAAGAGCATGCAGCCATGAGACTTGTTTTCCTTATTAGAAAGCAAACCGAAGTAGAATGGCTCAACTTTGTCGACCCTAAAGCGAGCTTGTATGCACATTTCATTCTTCTATCTTTTCAGTTGCTGTAACGGATTAAGCGTTAGAACGGGAGTTAGAACGCCCGAATGTCTCCTCTCATTGAGTAGCTGATACCACTGATTCAGTTAAGGCAAATAGCCCATATAATCTCTCCTGTTGGTCAACCCCCTCGGTGCCGCACTTCCTTGGTTTATCCATAATCGACATCGGTCTCCTACACTCTCTGGTTCTTCTTCTTTCTATCCGTCAGCCAGCTCAATTCCCCTCTTGGCAAGCCTGCTCACTTATGTCTTATGCCCCTGGTATGTCGAGAAAAGAACTTTTTGAGCTAAGCAAGAACCTCATGGACTAATCAGCTTGGAAAGACTGAACTCATAAACTTCCTAGAATCGTTGAAGAAATAGCCTCTCTCTTTTCATAAGATAGGTAGGGTCGCCCAAAGCCTGTCTTTTGCCTATCCAATGCCTCTTGAGCTGTCTAGTTAACGAACTCCATTAGTTGCTCTTGACTTAGTCTTTCGGGTAAAGGAAGATAAGAACGAAAGCAGAGGAAGAAGGGGAAGGACCCCCGACTAAGACCTTCAAATGCTCTACCAGGAGGTCCTGCGCAAAAGGAGCTAAAGAGATAGGAAAGATAGGTAGCTATTGCACCCGCGTTCACATGTCCTTGGATTGGCATAGAAGGCCACCTGGAGTTGACACTTATTCGATAAGGCCCCGATTGAATCGATCTGAAACTCCGCTCTCGCCCCTTCTTGGCGTACCGAAAGTCTAACTCTTTTCCACTAAGTTGACTAGCTTGCTTCCGTTCTTTTACTCTCTTAAGATATTTCTGGAGCAGGGGAAAGCCCTCTTTCAAACATATGCCGAAGAATGAGAATTTCTATAGTTTTAGAACGAGCTAGGCGCGAGCTAGACCAAAGACCTACTTCCCATGACTTATGAAATCGAAGAAGGAAAAGAAGCCGGCAGCGAATGCTCTCCATTTCCATCTTACTGTGCTAAAGAGGCCAAAAGTGACTAAATGCTCGAAGAAGGAGGACCGGGAAGAGAGTAGCGGAAGGCGTGATGTAATTGCCCTGTTAGAGAGAAGGAAAGAGGTATTCTATCGTACCGAACTCTCTGTGTCCTGGCTTTCTACATTGATCGAAGCGGAATACGCCGACGAGAGAGACCTTTAGAGTGACTTTTCGAGATAAGATGGATTGAGGAATACGGGTACGAGATTCCGCAGGTTTGCTTGCAAGGGCCGATTCTCTTCCCGGCCTCCAGTTAGTCCGCCTTCTACCTTGATGCCCAGCCCCTCTTAGTAGTGGAACTGCCTGCTTTCAATAGAAAGACTAAGAAAGATTCATGTCACATAAAAGCTTAGAGAGACTTGTGAATGCAAGCGACCTGCGCGGAATGAAATGCCTTGGATGTAGAAAGTCCTGTTGGAAATGAAGAAGATTTCCATAATTCGCCGAAAAACTATTATTAGAAAGAAGACCTTTTCCACCCTCCATCCTGTCTATGATAGAACCGAAATGGAAGCCCTTGCCCTAAGAAAGAAGGAGAAGGCCAACTCTTTCTCTCCTAGAGAAAACGGAATATTTCGCGCACGCTGCGCAGCCTAAGAAGGAAGGAGTCCCACTTAGTATCTTTCTAAGGAAACCCGATCCGCCCGAGGGAGTAGCGCTTAGCTGCTCTTCTAAGTTCATCCGTCTAAAAGAGTTGTCTAAGGAATTGGCTATTCCGAAGGGTCGAATCCTTTTGCTCCAGATTATGAACGCCTCATCGGATCTGTCAAGAAGGAGCTTACGAATAGGGGCAACTGTTGGCAAATAGAGAATTGAGTTGAAAATCCATATTCTCCCCCCGATAGTGAATAAGAAGGTTTGAGCCTAAGAGATGTGTGGTCCTGGCGCGCTCATATGGTACCTCATATGTAACTCACTGCACTGGACCGGAAGATTCTATACAGCAATAGTTTTTTGCGATTAGAGCAGATGTAAGGTAAAGCACCTTAACTAGGGATCAATTCGACCATGTCACTCTTGCTGCTATTAGTAAATCCGATATGATGTTTATCCAGAATATTGGGAGTCGAACGGAACCCGAAAGCACTCCATCGTCCCTATTTGACCACACCTGCCGTACTACGAATTCCAGATCACATTTCTTAGGCTATTTCTGTGATGAAGATTTCTTCTTTATCTGAAGCTAGACGGGATACTGTGGACCATTCCTTAGCGGTACTCTTCCTTTCCTTATCATTGATCTCGGGCTGGGCTTCCTTTTTGAAGGGAGAGGTTCTCGACTGTTCTCCATTTAAGGAGAGTTCATTATTCATTATTATGAGATCAGCGGCTTGACTCCTCGGTTCCCCTTGCTTCTAGCTTCGCTTTCAATCCTATCTTATTAGGAGGCCTACCACCGGACTCACTCATAAGCAAATGCCACAGAAAGCCTCTTTTTGCTAATATCCACTTTGGCCCTCTATTGATAGAGCCCCATTTAGCAGCCTTTTGGCTAGTCATTCTCTGACTTGGTCTCTCCTTTACTAATTCTATTCGAATGGCTATTTTGAGTCTTGTGTGGATAGGTGGAGAGAAGAAAGGAAGACATAGAATGCGCGAAGGGAAACTTAAAGCCCTGCTACTTCCCCCTTTTGTTTGCTATTACGGGAGATCTACTTTCGCAACATCTATCGACGAACTCCTTTATTCGCGCACTTATGACGTTGAGTTAAGCCTCCGTCCGATATAATGGAGTAAGTGGAAAGTCTTTCTATTTGTTGGGACGCCACGAATCAAGGATTTAATAGACTATTGAGTTCGCCTATGAAAAAAGAGTATGCAGTCCGTGACACGGGGAGAGACCTCTTTCTTGTCGGATTAGGAAGGCAAAGAGATGACATTGCGTATAACGAAAGCAAATCCTTTCGACGGATGTTTACGACGTAGGTAGGCAGAAATAGAGGCTCTCACTCTGGCACCTAGATTGATGATATTCCTCTTTACGGGGCAAACATAAATAGCTTTTTCCCTATCCCCTTACTCTTTTTGTTCCTCTTAAACTGACGTGTGAGCAGTAAATTATATGTGAGCTGATTAATGCGCCCTGTTTACTAGGCGCTGTAAGCCCACTCCCTTTGTCCTCGTTCTATAAGTAATATTATCAGACTTTATAGACTAATAGTATATGGAGATATAAACGGACAGTAAATCCTGAAGGCTCCCGTCTGATGATATTAAATGAATGGCTTGTGATAGAATAAAAGATAATATTTTATATCAATAGGATTGCGCATAAATTGGAATCTCATCGAACTTCCTTCTTTTCCGGACTCCGTCTCTTATTCCTGACTCGCCTCGGTAACTAAAAATCAATACGCACTCTCCGCTAAATTAAGAACTTGATTCCATTCAACAGCTACTTCTGTAGGTTACCTTCGAGCTCTTAGCAGCTAATGGAGTTGAATTTCTCCTCCGGAGTCTAATGCGCGAAAGGTCCTTTCTCTAACCCTTTCCCGATCCCACGTGTAAAAGATGCTATTTTCTGTCTTCGTACCTCACCCAACCCTTTCTTTCAGTCATACCGTTGTAATCCCAGAGCCGAAAGAAGGGGAAAATCTCATATCAGGCCCCTTGATCTAATTATATGATAAACTCGTATTCTCGCCCGCTCTAAGGTGATTCATCCTAACTCGCTCGAAATAGAGGGGCCGAAAATGTATATTTATTTACTACACTATTTTCTTTTGACCATTGCTTTCAGGTTTCCGGCTTGTTTCCGACTCTCGGTACCTCCCTTGAGCCCTTTCCTGCCTTCCGAAGAGAGGACTGGTAAAGCCTTGCCAAAAAGGACAACTCCCGCCTTTTCTGACCCCAATGGCAAAACCGAAGCCAAAATCTCCCTCTTTTTGCGCCCTTTCGGAAATCGGGTCAGAACAAGACAGCAGAGGAACGAACAGGTCTTACTGTCGATCTGACATTTCTTTTCTTTCCTGATCTGGTTTGGGAATTAGGAGCGAGGTTTACGAATTCAAGAAAAGAAAGACCGGAGTGAGGGGACAAGGAGTCCTTTCCTTGGTTTAGATCCGAGATGGCAAGAGGAAGAGGTCAATAATAGAAAGGAGTCGGGTTACAGAGTATGGGTCCGAGGCTGGCGAGTGGACAGCATTTCCTGCTCAGTCTTTGTCTTGGCTTTCGCTTGAAGTTTTGCCGTTTGGGAAAGGAAGGAGAAGGCGAGCCAGGGCAGGCAGTCTTCCTCTTGTTCTATCGGGTTTGGGAATAAGAACCCGGTTTTGGAAGAATAGCTAATAGCAGGAGCGGGGAAAGGTATCGGGGATTTCGGGTATTAGACAGGTCAGGTTCGGGTATCGGAACTGGAAAGCGAAAGCGGTTAGCAGTCCAAAGGTCGTCAACTGGCAAGCCAGCAAGCCCTTCCAAACGTCGGTTTCTCTTATATGAGATTTCAGACGCTAGTATTAGCCTCCAGTGTCCTACATCTACTGCATCTGTTTGATATTGACTTTACGCGCCAGGGAGGGACTCATTTGCTTAGTCGGTACCGATGACTGCTTCAAGAACTTACTCGATCTCACTCTTACTTCGACTTTACGAGATCCAACTCTTTCTGACTTCGCTTGAGGACTTGCCCAGATCTGAATCTGACATAGCCTGGGGAGATATGAGCGAAATTGGCCAAGTGTCCACTAAGGGAAAGAACCCTGATCCAACCACATATTGATAGTTACGCACGTGAGGAATAGATCGAGAGGGTGAACTTCGCGATGATATCGTCCGATAACTAACCTCCTGCCGACTGAGCTATAGAGTGCAACTTACTCTTTCTCAATCCCCATTAGGAACTCACTTGCCGAGACCTGCTGAGATCTCACTCTTACTTTCGATAGAGAGAGGAATTGCCTGACTGAGATAGAAAGTTATCACTCGCTTTACTCCAGTGGCCGGGAAGATGGGAAAGATCCACCAGATAGTTACGCGTCAGGGATCCAGAAGTGAGGCCTTCCCGCTTACATAGGTAGAAATTCGTCTGACAGACATAGAGATATTCGGGACTTGACTATTTGTTTATGACTCGATAGATAAGAGGGATCCAGACCAGAGAAAGAGGGTTTACCCAGATCGACTCATATTAGTAGCTCGCTCTTAGCTCCTGAGCGATATATAACGGATTCAGTCGATAGTTCTATAGAATTCATGAGCTAGAGCCCCCCAAACTACTTATGCCTTCGAGATATTGAGGGCGATATGAGCGACTCGTTCGCGGAATCATCAGCCATTTTGAATGCATACGTCCTAGACTACCTCTAGAGCGAGAGTTTTCCGTCTTATTCAAACTCTCCTTTTCCTCACCCGGATTGCGCCATTACGAGAGACCCCGGATCAGCGGATTTGCAGTGAGCGATAAGACTAGATCTACCTAGCCCTGACATCGAGATATTGAGGCCCAGATGACGGATACGGTGCAGGGACCACGGATCCAAACATATTGATATATTTACGCGTGAGGACCGGACCAACGAGGGCGACAACTACATCTTATATAGATAGATATTGAACTTGACTCTTCCTGACAGAGCTAGATAAAGATAAGAGGGAGAAAGATCGAGAGGGCGAACTCTTTACGCGCTTACATAGGTAGAAATTGGAATTTCCTGTCGATATATAGTGCACTTGACTCGATCTGACTTATATATTTGGACTTGCCTCTTGGTGGAAATGGTGTCAAACTGGGAACCAGCATATGATGGGGTTTTACCAGTCCTGCTCTTTGGACGATGAGTCGCATTCAGAGAGGAAAGAAAGAAGGTTTGCCACTCCTCCCACTCCCAGCTTTTGACTCTAGGGCTGGACCGGAACCTGTGACCTGAGCCTGATCCCTTTCCTTTCTGGCTTCCAAACCGAGGTATCTCTTCCTTGTCCTGCCTTTCCCAGACGGGTAATAGCAAGAGCGGTCAAAGACAGGAGGCAGTAAATCCCTAATACTAGGGAAATCTCATATAAGAGGCCGTTAGCAACCCCTTTAAGGTGATCCATCGTAAAAAGATGAAACTCTAGTCCAGGATCGCCTTACGCCAGTTTCTCATATATGCGATCGAGTGGTCCATTCATGAGATGGTCAAAGCCGGTGTCGTTCCGCAAGGTTTCTGAGAAGCGGTCCAGCGAGATGGTATGATTTCACCATAGGCATCGTCCATAGCTGGTCCTGTATCCATCTTAGAAGCAGTGGTTTCAGAAAGAAAGGGTTTCAGTTCAGAGGTATAAGTCTTCCAGTGGTGTCTTCCATAACTGGTCGAGTCGAAATCAGAAGCAGTGGTTTCAGAGATCTTAGAAGCTGGGTTTCAGAGTAAGAGATGTGCTTACCAAGCGTATAGCTGCCCGTTGCCGTTGGTCAAGGAATGGATATCATGTCAAAACGAAAGAAGAAGCAGCAGTCCTTGAAATTGGTATACCTACGGCAAAAGAAGGGAAAACGGTCGAAGACGAAGACAAAAGAAGGCAAGATCAGACCTTCCCGGTTTTCGACCCCTGTAAGTCATATATGCTAAACTCACGTTTAGGACCTGCCGCGTGTGATTAGACCTGTCTCTTCCTTTCGTTGGTTGTTGAGAAGGGAGGTGTATCTCTAACTCCCTTTCTTTGACTCGTTCCTTTCTCTAAGACATTCGAAGGCTTTACCAACGGCAATGGGCAGCTGAACCCGTGGAGCATTGTCATTCCTCGTTCTTGTCCAGCTGTAGGGGCTGAACCTATTTTGTCATTGGTATGACTCGATCAGTTAACCCTAGATCCTTAGTCGTCTTCAAAGAATTGCTCTAGTTGTTAAACGCGTGTAGCTTTGGCATTCGTAGGACTCGCTTGTTAAAGACCCCAACTCTAACTCTCGCTTTAGTCTTTCGACAGGACTACGACTAGAGAAGGTATGGAAGACACGGCAGGGAGAATCATAGGTAGATTCGTTCCTTGCTTGATAGTCCATGACTTGCATTGTATGACCAACGGCTACAGAATGCTTCTTCCTTGGTAAGACAGGTTCAGGGGTTCGACACCCGCAGCTTTGCCCGCAACGCTAGGAAATTAACGGCAACTCTCGATTCCTTGATCGCTCGCTTTGGAACACCACTTCTCATAAACGACATCTCAGGACCGCTGCTCTGGTTCTCGTTTAAGACCCGATCTCTGGAACACCTTTTCAATTCAACACCCGAGAGAAGATCCTGTGTCTACTCCGACGTGAACAAATAAAGGATTGGTTTCATTATCTACTCCGGATCCCGTGTATGAGCCCGAACCATTGAGCCTTCAGGATTGGTCTTGTGACCTCGCCTCTCGATGTACTCCTGGCATGTCACGGCGTAGCGCCACCCGTCGAACCATTAGAAGACAGGATTGGAAGTGGTCAAATAAAAGATTGGTTTAGTCAGAAGACTTGTGTTTCACATCGTAGGGCGCGAAAGCAATTCTGAATTATTCGTTAATTCGGCAATGGCTCCTCACCATGTACTCCAGTGTACTATCCCCTCCGTCTCACCAGATACTAGCAGAAGGGATTCGCTCTACCATCGATCAAGTGCTTTCTCTTTGAATCCTGATTGCACGGTATGCCCCCACGTTGAGCCAACTGATCCCCCCAGATCCTAGTGTACCCGGCGAAGAAAGATTCATGGTATTGTTCGTCGGTCGACCATCCGGGTTTGAAAGAAAGAAGTGATGTACGCCGTGAGAAACTGGCAAGCCTGTTAAGGAGCTGGTATCGAAGATCTCTCAAAGTATCAGTCAAGTCTTATATAGTTAGTTCTTCCCAGCGAGGTCAAGCCGAGCTATCATGGGTTTCTTGGTTGGTACTTCCGCCAATCTACGGGGTTTTCGCCCTCCTCATACAGAAAGCGATGCCCTTTCACTCAGGATTTCTCTTATCGGTAAGTTCGGAGTTTGGAGAGGCAGAGCCGAGGCGAGTCAAGTCGTTCAGTTCCTAGGTCTTAAGCGACAGCGTACGTAGCTTCTTAAGTGTTGTAGTGAGAAAGAAGGCACTAACAGGCATTTCAGGGAAGAAGACGAGCAATGAAACTTTCCTCCCAGGCAGTGGGGAGAGAGGAGATTCGATGAACACTAAGAGGGTCGCAGTAGTGAGCCCCTCTGGATCGGGTTTTTCCGGAGATGAACTCCAGGACCACGAAAGGTTACTTTCCGGTGCACTTGAGTGCTTACTGAAGAAGATCTTGACCCATCAGCATCAGTCGAAGTGGATCCGTACTTAAGCCTCCCCACCCTCGGGTGGTTATTTCCGCGCCTGGTCCGCTTAAAGTAAGATGCCTTTTTAGGAGCTCCTAGCCGCCGAGCTACCTCATGAAGTTGAAGACCTCTTTGGGGCATAGCCAAGGCTTCGACCATAGGAAAGTGGTTTCGGCCATCGCAGGTTTGAATCCTGCTGCTCCCGTAGCCAGCTGCTCCTTGCCCTCAGCTTTTATTGTTATCGATGAGCCGACACCTGGATGCCTTGCTTACCTGCCCCAGCTCTTATGTCTTAGGCCCTTTAGGCCGATTTAACCTTCGTTTAGGACCCTTGAGATCGTGCGTTGAAAGGACTGAATGATAAATGCCCTTGAACCCGATCCTCAGAACTCAAGGAAAGGAGAAACCGCGTTTCTCAAGTTGGGGTTGATGTCCCGAAATGTGCGATAAAACTTTTCCTGATGGATGTTATGGGGACTGCCCCGCGGGCGTCGAAAGAGCCGCAAATGGCACAAACATCCCTCTTTTACGAGGGGAATGCCGAATAGGCAAGACAAGGCCAAATGGCAGCACCAACTCGCATGTGTTTTACATATAGCTAGCGATCTGAAAAGGGCATTCGCGTGTCGTGTCCGCATCACTTGATCTCTTCAAAGTCTTATTTCATTGCTTTAGTTGCACCACTTTAGTGATTATAAAATAAACTACATAACTAGTACTTAAATTCCTTTCCTTGGATGAAAGAAGACTTGTGCTGTTATTGTCTTGCTGTGTATGGGCATAGCTCCAAACGTGCAGCAAGAAGAGTAATGGAAGTGAAGTCAGGAAAATAGCAATGACAGAAAGCCAGTTAAGAAATCCAGTAAGGGTTGCCCGGTGGTTTGGGTTACCTCTCCCTTCCTATCTTCTTTTCTTCTTTCTTGTCTTGTTTTATTTCCCTCTAAAGGGTGTCCTCCTTTTGGGGAGTATTTTATCCAAAGCCTCGTCCGTTCTTTCTACTTGAACTTGTTCTCCACGGCAGATTGCCAGCAAAGGGAACCCTTGCTTGTTGGCTGCCCTTCTATTGCTACAGAGTTGATATCGTGCCTGGATAGTAGAGTGTCATTGGCTGAGGTTCGCACTGCTCTTTTCCAAATGAAACCGTGGAAAGCTCCAGGGGTTGATGGCTTTCAAGCGGGTTTCTTTCAGAAGTTATGGGATACGGTAAACACCTCTTTATTGACCTTGGTTGATAATGCGTTTGAATCGGGTTCTCTCCTTACTGGTCTAAATGAGACTTTGCTTGTCTTGATTCCAAAAGTGGATAAGGTTGAGTATGTGAAACACTTTCGGCCCATTAGTTTATGCTCTGTTGCCTATAAACTAATCACTCAAGTTTTGGGTCAATAGATTGCGTCCCCTGCTTGCTTGTTGATCTTGTAGGGCCGGCACAGGCAAGCTTCATACCAGGGCGACAGTCATCGGACAATATCCTTGTTGCCCAAGAGCTTATACACACTATTTAAAGAAGCAAGAGCAGGAAAAGGGGCTGATGGCTATCAAGATAGATTTGGAGAAAGCTTATGATAGGATCAGTTGGGAATTTCTGAGAGAGACTTTGGTTGTCTTTGGTTTCTCAAAAAAATGGATCGATTTGGTAATGGTATGTGTTGAAACATCAAGGATGTCGATTCTTTGGAATGGTGAGAAGATGGAAAGTTTCTCTCCCCAAAGGGGTTTGCGTCAAGGGGATCCAATTTCTCCCTATCTTTTTGTGTTGTGTATGGAACGTTTGGGACATATGATTGAGAAGGAAATCCAAGCTGGTAGTTGGAAACCCATTCATGTTGGGCGTGGGGGTCCGGGCGTCTCCCATTTCTTTTTGCGGATGATTTATTCCTTATGATGCTACAGATGCTCAGGCAAGTGTAATCCGGGGAGTCTTGGATGAATTTTGTAATGCTTCTGGCTTCAATTCGCAGTTTTTCAATTTGCATTTTCAGCTGCTGGCTGTGTATGGGCTGTTGCGTTGCTACTCCTTTAAGTCGTCTTTGATCCTTCATCCTGCCATGAATTTTAGTACGAGAGAGAACCCTTTCAAAAAAAGAAGTTGGCCATATGGCTATCAGATAAAGTCTTTCTTTTATTAGTTCAATTGGGAGATCGAGGACTCTGTCTTAATGCTTTACACATGCAAGCAAGTCGAACGAAGTGGTATGCTCTATAAGTGACGAGACAGGAGCTCGACGGTCCCATTCCCTTGGCAAAGGCCCTAACTGTTGCCACGAGGTTGACCATCACTCACTCGCTCTTGAAGGAAGGCTCTTTCTATTCGAATTGCTACTTCTTTTTACTAGATGGGATGCATTCTAAACCGATGTCTCACCAATAAGAGATGAATCCATTATAGGTGAACCTCTGTATCATATATAAGGCATCTTCCTTCGTTGACTTAACGTCCTCTTGGAGTGGTTAGCCGCTATCGTATTCAAAGTACCTTCGAACAGTTCGCCTAATCGCACAAAGGGGAATCCTGCGAACGATGCAAAGAAGATTGAATATGATATTTCGCTGCGTTGATGCTTTCTCAGAGATAAAATAATAGGAGCTGCCAGCCCATAATTGGATTCAAACCAACCCCCTATCTGGGGGGACTTTTCCTTTAGTAGATCGTGATGGTGACTGTGCACATGAAGGGATTGCGAAATTCTTTCTCATTGGTTGACTATGGGCGGAGAGAGGTGAGATCAGCTCCTTTGCCTAGCGGTATGAATACCGATCTAGGGTTACTACTTATTTGACTTCGTCGACAGGATATTACCCCTTCCTTATTATCGTACCGAGAAGAACAGCTGGAAAGCACTGAGTCGAACATAACAACGAATAGATGATCTTCTTCCCTACCGGACATGCCGACCTGCCGACTCTTATCTAGATTTACAAAGGAAAAGAGCTTTAAAAGGGTTCGCTCCAAGGGGTGGGTGATGGTAAGGCGCTGTCTGTCTCAGATTTACATCAAACTCTGTTCAGTTTCCCGACCAGTCTCTTCTTAAAATCCCTGCCTAATCCTTATTCAGTTCCAGTCCGTAGCGTCTACCAATACTATAATAGGAGAAGAGGTTGATCCTGGCTCAGAAGTCAGAAGGAAGGGATAGTGAGAAACTTGGATCAAGGTATTTTCTGCATCTCATATCGGTGATGTTGATTTCAATCGTTCATCTACAAGATTATCTCCCCTAAGGTCATGGCAACCATAAGTAAGTTAGACCAACTTCGCAAAGTCCTCATGAGTTAGCCAAGCGGCCTAAAACCTGAAGGGGCGAGCCTCCTTGTTGGGGACTTGAGAGTAGTTTTGACAGGAACATAATAGGATTATGATCCGAGCCAAGCCTAGGTTTGGAACCCTCAGGAAACGTCTTTCAGATCCTCATTCCAAAAAGCTCGGTCCAACCTCTCTCTCTTGAAGAACCACTCTGCCATGAACTTTTCGAAGCTTTTTTTTTTTTNCAGTCAAAGACTAGCTCGCTCAGCTCGTGCAAGCACGGTGTAGCTAAAGCTTCGGTTCGGTCAGTCAGATTCGTAGCAGCTAATTCCCTCACTTCGCTTCGCTTTGTTCTATTTTCCTGACTTCACAGAGACTTTCTTCGTTGAGTTCTTGCCCGTGCCACGGTGGGCATCGGTCAGTCAGCTTCGTATCACTAGCTTCGTAACAGTAGTTTCGCTTCAGTAGCTTCGATCAGTCCAAGCATTTAATCTGTGCAAAGACAAGACTCGGGAAGACTCGTTCTGGTTTTCGCAGTTCGTTCGATGTAATTGAGTCATAGAGGAAGGAACCCCAAATCGTGAATGAAAGAAAGAACGTAAAAGAGTGATCCCCATTCGAGATGTTAGAAGGTGCAAAATCAATGGGTGCCGGAGCTGCTACAATTGCTTCAACGGGGGCTGCTGTAGGTATTGGAATCGTATTTTGTTCAATAAGCTATTGCCTTGTTCGCATTAATGATGGCCTTTTTGATTCTATTTGTTTTCTAACTGTGCAAAGGCAAAATATCTCACCGAAAGGTGGGAGGGGTGCCGAGATCCTGGGCAGCGGGATCATCCCATCATGATCGACTAAACGGAAAGTCGCAAAAGAGATGTTGGTTCGAGCCCAACTCGTGATTCCCCAGTGAAGAAGGTCTTCAATCAATCTTTCAGTAAGCGGTTTAAGTAATAAAAGTAAAGAGAGCCAGCTAGCCATAGTGGTCAATCCGAAGGGAGTAGGAAGACCATCTGCGCCGAAGTTTTTTTCCCAAGCCGTCGAAGAAAGGCCTAGCCGAAGTAGAGTGGCAGAACGGGTCGAAAGCATGTAGATAGGAATGCCATAACCTGATTTCGAATAGGCCAATAAAGAAAGATATGGAATTCCGGGTATAACACAGGGCCATAATCAATAGCTTCATAAAAGAGAGATTCCAAATCTGATTTGAGCGTAGTTTTTCGCACTATCCAGCAAATGGAATGGTTGACCTCTACCTCTTCTCTTATACCTGACTTTGTTGCCAAGTGAACCAATACACCACCTATTGAAAGGGAAGAGAGAAGCCATGCCTTTTATTTATTGCTTTTTCATTCAAAAATAAAAACCAAGAAAAACCTATCTATCTAACTATCTAAACCCTAAACCCAATCCTAAACTGACTTCGAAACAGGTTCGAGAGCTTCGATCGAAAGCCTTTCTTATCTAGTGTCAGCTGATCCTTCAGCATCTACACCAACTACAAATCGGAAGTTTAATTCGAAAGACGAGAGTAGGCTTGAGGAGGATCAAAAGACGGATTCTCGGTCCCCTTTAGAAAGCAGGTTAGACAGAAATGTATTCCTATGGAAAGAAAAGTCACGAAAAGAAATCCATATGATCATAAATAAAGGCTTGCCTATACGTCTTTTCTAGCGTACGCGCGGTTCCTTTCGATTGGAGCCTGTCGCTACCTGGATAAAGAAGCCAATTCTAGTTCGCCTTGTGTCAGGAGATTTTAGGGAATGAATTGGATCGTGAAGTTGCTTCACACCTGGCCTTTGATCTTTCGCTAGGAGCGAGGTTGTCCTGAGAAAGAATGGTGGTAACCGAGACCCTGGTCAGACCTATATGCTATGAGACTACTCGAAGGGGGGCTTTTCATTAAGGGGACTCTTCACTCTTTCTCTTGCTTCTCCTTTTTTTTTCCTTTCCTGACTCGGGCATTCACCTATTAGAACTCTTCATATCATAGGGGATAGGAACTGAGATTCTTCATAGTAGCTTGCTTGTTTGTTTCCTGTTGCTTCTGTTTTGTTGGCCTGTGACCCCATGAAGGAAGAGGAAGGAAAGCAATAGCAGCCATTAGAAAGAAGAGTGGCGAAGAGGCCAGGAGCGAACACTATGAATGTAAGAATGGACTACTCTGAATCAGATCTGTTCTTATCCGCATTGATGAGGTCTCACATTCGATTAGGACAAGCAGTGACCACTATAGAAGAACGGAGACACAAGCTCTAGCCATTAGACAATCACTTGACTTTAACTGATAGCATTGAATGGGGAGCATGAAAGCAGAGAGGGAACAGTCTATCATGCATGTCTTCTTTTAGGCCAGCAGGGGAACCCGGCATGGCTTGCTTATTTCATAAAGTAAGACAGAAAGCTTTTCTTTGGCGCTTCCTTGATCAAGGATGGGTTTCAGGTTAATCAGGACAGGGGATAGATAGATATCAGATCCAGTTAATCAATGCTGGAAGTGAAAGTCCAGCTCTATCCATGCTTCCTGACGCCTCTCTTTCCTTAACAACCCTTCTTCTATCGAGAAGATGAAGGAAGATAGGGGTCCCCCCAGTCAGAACTCTCGATAAGACGCCTTTCTTTCCGTGCTCCGTATCCAATTTCAATACGCTATCACTACCTCAATGCAATTCAGGAGTCTTCCGTGAAGGAATGAATTCAAGAGTGAACGGCTGTGGCACATAGGGAAGATTCATATGAAACTCAATTCTGTATCGGATCTATGCCCTCCTCATGTTTATAGTTCCTCTTCAAGCTCTTTTATAGGGGATTATACCTAGAATAAGTCTCTCAAATAGACCGGCTCTCTCATAGGTAAACAAATACCATACCACTAGCTGACACCCTTTAGAGGATAACATTAGAACTGTATTAAAAAACTCTAAGAAGAAGAAAAGAAAAGAAAAAATCAAGAAAAGAAAGTCATGCAATCCTTTCTTTAGCCATTACACTTTTCTTAACTTCGATATCCTTCCCTTCGGTCTACAAGGCTCACTTCGCTTCGTTCGTACCCTTCTCTTCGTAACAGTAGCTTCGATCAGTCCAGAGCTTCGGTTCGGTACACGGAACACCAAGCCAATCGATAAAGAAAAAGCAGATCAAAGTCCTCAATAGAAAGCTCTCAACACTTCATAGTGACTCTTCCTAAATCAATCCTAAAAGACCTAGAAGAATATGAAAGAGATGCAGTGGATGTTGGGGGAACCCCTTTTTAGCAACCTGTAAAAAACCCTTATCAAATCTCATATATAAAAAACAGTAGTTCTGCACCCAACAAACGAAGCGAAGCGAAGTTCAGTCTCATAAAAAAGGTGATTGTAGTCTGAGAAATGTCCAGTAGTTTAGGGATCTTGAGGATCGATATCAGTGAAATTACTATTTGTTTTGGGCTAGAAGGCTCCGAGGAATCCCTAGTAGCCGGCAGCTGCGGATTGAAACCAAACCCCCTGCCAATTTCCCTTTGTTTTGTTATTTTTAGTGAAAGTGCCCCATTTTAGCTCCTCGTTTTAGTTCCTCATTTGCGTGAGGAGTGCGGAATTGGCACTCAATAGGCTTCGGTGCTGTACACGGAACACTGACCCTATCTCTTCTTTATGTTTGCAAGTAGGAGTTCGAAACTGACTCCCTTTTGCTCCCGTAAGGAGAGAAATTCACTATGTTTCGGTTTTAAAAACAATAAGAAAAGTTAGGAAAGTGCTCTTAGTACGGCTCAGGAGCTGGTTACCAAGTTCGGCCAAAAGCGGGCTCGGAAGTGCGCTCTGTCCTGTCTCAGAAAGGCATTGTTATCACCAGGCGAGTGGCACGCACGTGCCTGTCGTGTTAAGTCTCGGACCAAGTTAAGTAAGGAGCTCATTTGTACCAGAGAATTTGAGGAATACTTGTACTTTCTTTCGTCAGGTGTGAATGCCCCATCTATTGATACTTAACTTACAAGGGCTGCTGCTTCTGCACCAGGATTGGGAGATCCCCTGTTCGAACGATCCTCTTCTGCGGCGGTGGAAGTCTCTAGGCTTATACGGAACACTTTCCTAATCTCGAAAACGAAATTGCAAGTACAGACATAAAGTAACTTGCCGCTCGAGTCCTGCCCAGCAAAACTCCTGTTTAGGCATCTTCATAGCAAATTTGGCGCAAGGGATTACTATAGCGCGTTAGACCGGGCAGAAGATGGGGTTGTAGAGCATCTTTACTTTGATCCTTCCACGAAATACCTATTTGAGAAGGGATGACTTATTGATTATATAGGTAAGTTACATGAACTGGTCCAAGACCAATACATTGATCTCGTCCAACCAATTATGGGAATAACTGCCAAATAAGATGAAACTTGACGACTGAGAAGTCCGAATTTAGATAACTTCCCTTCCTGAAACAGCGCTACTACAGCTAGGATCCTTCTTATACGTCGTCGCCTCAACAAGAGCTTGCTCTATCCCTTGACAAAGCCATCGTAAAATAGTTACATTTAAGGCCCCTAATAGCAGAGAAAGGATGAATCACACGTGAGCTCCTGTTTGCGCACGTTTGTTTACAGGATTTGAAAGACTTTATTTAGGAGGGACTATTACGTAGTTGGCTCACGTCAGATCTAGAGCATCAGGATTCGAAGAATGTCGGGGCCCGATGCCTTGCCGCTTGGCTATACTCCTTTCTGTCTTCGTTTTTCGGCTTTCAAGAAGAGAAGCTACTTAGGAGTTAGGAGTTAAAGGAACAGACATGGGAAATCCCCACCCTTTTGAGCCCCTCTTTTCATCCTTTTTGTTAGGTCAATAACCGAGTAAAGAATCTAAAGAATCTAATCTACCTTTTGGGCTTCGCTTTCACCACTTTGCTTTGTTAAAGTTGATCCTCTTAGAATTTCTCTCTACGTGCGGGATGAGTCTCCTGAAAGCTAATCATTCGACAAAACGCCAACGCCAGTACTAATAGTAGTTAGAGTTCCCTCGCCCGAAGGTGGTAATCCTGCTCATACTCATAAAGGTTCTTAGGTCCGAAAGGACGGGAAAGAAGGGTTCAAGGCGGTTTACGTCGAAGGCTCCTAAATAGTCTTGCCACGAGGGTTTGTTAAAAGCGCTAAAACCGGTTTAGGTGCTTTTGATCGGCATTCCTCGGTCTATCGGATGAAGGTTCAATTCAATATCCGCATCAGCTCCAGATTGGTATATTTTGCTAGAAGTTCCTACTTCATGGTATACTTCTTGCTTCCCCTGATATCAGCTTAAGGCGTCGAAAGAACTCGTGAAAGGTGGATGGATCCGTACGCACCGGTACTTGATCATTCACCAGCTCTTGCTGATCTCCTCAAGGTCTTTCCTTGTCATCTCAGCAGCAGGATAAGAACATACTACCAAAAACCGATATCAGATCCTTTACTTTAGGTTAGCCTATCTCCTGCCAGTTACCAGTATTTAGCTCTCAGCTACTTTGAAATATCGGCCTTGAGGAGCTATTTTCCGATTCATCTTATGAAATTAAAGGAAATGAGAGCAGCTAATTCACTTTCCAATCTATTTTTGTAAAAGGAAAAACTCTGATTTTTAGGGCAAAAAGTTCTGGACAAGAATATGTTTTAACCGGGAATCAGGAAATATTAAATCGTTTAGGGCTTCGATCCTGCGGGTGTCTGCACCACTTTCCGATGATCATTTGCTTGGCTAGACTCCCCGGTCTAGGACTACCTCTGAGAAGGACACGAACCTATTCTTGTCAATACCACAAACCTATGGTCTTGGATGTACTCCCGCGAAAAAGGATGATTTCGTGAAACAACTCGGGATCTCACTGAAACATTGGCCCTTGGGGAGCTCTTTCCCCTCATCAGTCGAGTATTTAGGATTAGAAATAGCCAAGCTGGTTGGTGTTCGGATCCTTTTACTCTAGCTCTTGAAAGCAAGAAAGCGAAGCCCCTAAGGGAGGTAGTTTCCCGATAGAATTTGTTGCAGTCTAGTCCAATTTCCAATTAAATTATAGGACTGGAACTTGTCTTTACTCTTGAAGTAGGATTCTAAGAGGTACTGGCTTATTAGAACAACCTGGATTTAATCCTGAGGAGCTTAACCAACGCGGCTCAGCATCAAAAACAGATGTGGAACTATATCCAAATGCTATGACCGAAAGCATGAAATATCTACCGAAGGGGCTTCTATTTCTTCCCCTCAGGGTGTGGTTAGTATACGATCAGATACTAGACTGAGCGCAGGAAAGGGCATTCCTCTACGCCATTCTTTCAGTGAGAGCAGTCGTGCAGGGTGTGCGCCTTGCCCTCCTAAACGAGCAAATGTGCAACTACGATTGACATGTGTTAAGCATATAGCTACCGTCCAAAAGTAGTTATCCAGTTCGTGAATCTGCTGCTAGCTATGGAGGGCTTGGAGACTTCCTTTAGCGTAGATCGGGTGAGGGCCCCTTTGGGGGGAGACTTTCAAGTCCTTATTCTGCTCGAGCAAAGTAATGACGATTCTATCTCTACTGCTCAGAGCTCAGAAGGTCAAGACGTAAGAACTTCGTTTACCGGAAAAGTAATATCTTTAACTTACATCTAAGGCACCTAAAAAAGAGCAATCACACACTTTCCCAATCTCCGTTTCAAAAAAAAGAACAGATAAAACGGGTTATCCTGGTGTTCCGGCAGATCGAGATAATATAGGATCCGAAATGCCATATCCCTTTGTACTGACCTGACTCTTAGAGGCCCTCTTGGAGGGGGGGACACTAAAGGATCAATCCTACGCGAAAAATGGAATAATTATTCCGTAATGGCAATTATCTGCCAGCAGCCCTGGACAGAAGGTCGGGATGAAGAGTCAAACCTCGGACAAAACTTGAGGGGTGGTAGAGCTAAATACCTCACAGAGAAAGGGACTTATCGGATGAAGAGGAATACGAGGGGTCAGTAATTGAACCGGGATCGTTTCGTGACAAGACAGCAGCATCAGAAGCTGGGTTAGCAAGGGAAGCGGAAAGGGTGGGTCCCTTATAGGCGTTCGAGTGATCAGCGGGATCGGTCGTGCGCTCTGGCAGTGAAAAGAAGCATTGGTTTCAAGACAAGAAAGTGCACGTGTTAGGCATCGAGCCAAGCTCTTTAAGGAGATCGGTCTTCTAGAGCTTCACTTCAAAACCTGTACAGCAGAACGCACGTAAAGAAGACATCGTGAACGAGACTTTCGAAGATTCGGCATGCCCTAGATGTGACTTTTTGGAACGACTTCTTTTTTCCAGATGTGTTCGTGCTGCTAAAATCGTATTTCGGTCTTCTGGGCAACAACGGATACTTCCGATGAAATCCATAGAGAAATGTCAACAAATGACCCAACATCCAGAGCAGATGTGCACGTGTAAGAAAGCGATGATCTTTCGTCATCTGTGTTTATCTCAGGGATTGGATATCAATTCGGCTTTTTGACAACGATTGTTTCATCTGATTTTGAGACTTTGACTAAAAACGTATTTACATTTCTTTTCCCGATAACTTCAACATCTGCTTCGGAACCGAACCTCCATCTACAATAGTAGAAAAGAGCTCCCCTTTGAGGGATGGTTTTCGTCGAAGAGACGATCTACAACCTAGTATTCTGCCCGGCTAAACTCTAGTTGCTTGCATCAAATTTTCTATTTGATATATTGGTAGCTTAACTCTCGATTTCACTCTATACACCATCTGAAATATCAACATTTTGCATGTACTTTCATTTTCATTTGCATGATTAGGTTCGTGTACCGCGTACCCCTTTCAGGAGCTGTTCTTTCGCCCTCTGGCCTGGGCTAAGACTATAGTTCTGATCGATCTTGGCCTGGACGGACATCCGATTCACCTTTCCTTTGATGACGAGTATGAGTAAGAAGAAGAACGCCCTCCCGCGAACTAATGACATCGAGAACTTTACCCACTAGACCAGACTATAAGGGAAGATAAAGATCATCCAACGGTACTAGAGGAAGACGAAGACTTATAGACGACATTGACAACTTCGTATACTTCTCGCTTCGCCGGTACAACTGGGCTGAAAGCCTCTGACCTGGTTTGCCATAGAAAAAGATGCATATAGTGTAGAAAGATCTCCCCCCTCTGTCTAATGTCCCCGAGCCTGATCGGCTTTAAGGAACGGCAGTGGTAGCTTGCCTGTTTTTGCCCGAGATGCCTCATGACCTAAATGCCTGTTTTCAATGTAGTTGGATCCGTCTTTTCCGAGATCGCAAAAGTGGTTATGCTTTTCCTCAAGACTATCCGCGGGCCCTAAAACTCTCTGGAGTCTAGCCAAGCATCGGTTTCTGAAGAAGTGATTCGTGGGTTTGATCCCTCATCCCCAGACCTAAGGAAAGTCCCTTGGTTGATCTATTTTGGGGAAGTCCCGTTCGAAGCCAGTCCTGGCCCATGAAAAGGGTCTTTTACGTTTTCATGCCTCAACGTGTGATTGCCTATCAAGAGGCCTTTACTCAAGATTTCCCGGGCAGGAGCGCGCTTAGGGCAGGGTTTTAAACAGAGTAGGTATCGTTTCCTGGTACGAAGCGACTGATACGAAGCTGACTGAGCGAGCGAAGCTTGGGTTTTAGCACAGTAGGTATGGGTTTCAGTAGCTACACCGAAGCTTTAGCTACACCGTGCTTGCACGAGCTGAGCGAGCTTGTCTTTTAACAGTAGGACTGATGTGACGGAACAAACCGAAGCTTACTGACCAAACCGAAGAGAAGGAAGCTACCGAAGCGAAGAGAAGACTGGGCTGGGGGCGGCGCTCTGGGAGACATGGTCAACCCATCTTCGAGGATATGGATTTTGACTTCTGATCGGGAATGGAGAAAGAGTGACTGAAAGGAGAGGAATCATTACCATCGGTGAAATGAATCTTTTCTCCCAGATCTTCTTTGTAGTCCAACTTGGTATATGTATGAATTCATGTTGCCAGTCTCAGTTGGAGGAATAGTGTGACTTGGCAGCTTTCTTCGAGAACTTGCTTATTCTTTTTTTTTTTAGACTCTATATCCCCTAGCTCTTCTCCTCTGTTTTGTAAGTGAACGAAAGGCAGGATTTCTTGTGTAGTGACGGAATACCAAAAAAGGTTATTGAACGATCTACTTTTCTATCCTGATGGCTAGAAAGCCGCACCCGGATAAGCAGTTTCAGCTTTTACACGTACTTTTGCCAATGCATCTGCTCTCTGGCCTCAAAACCACACCCGAAGGAAGGCCAGCCACCTCTTCCATAGCCTTCGAGGCTAGGAAACGACTTCGATTTTGGCCAGCCAGCGGGAACACGAGCAAAGGCTACTTCCAAGTCAGCGGGTATAATATTATGCAAAAGATAAGCCTTCCGCCCCAAGTGAGTTGTCTGTTCCCATTTCCCTCACTAGGACTGGGTTACCGAGGATCATCCCTCCAACTCACCGTAAGGTAATAAGACAACGTTCGGAGAGGTCAGATATGTTGGTGAGGCTGTCTTTGTCAACCTTAGCCAGTATATCCTCTCCTGCTCTGGATATTGTTCGGGTGGTCTACTCAGCCTTGGTCATGTTGTCCTCAACGCGATCACTTCTTGAGCGGTATATCCCAGAGATCCAAGCGGCAGAAGAGAAAGGAAGGTGTAAAGCGGTAAGGCATTACGCTGTGGTCAATCTTCAGATATGGAGTAGGTACCGAACCGGAGTCAGAGTCAGCAGCGGCATTTCATTCAGTCAGCTTGGCTTTTTCTATAGTTTGCCTTTTTGTCTACCTTCTTGAGCATTGGTCCATTCCGGTCTTCAGTCAGTCAGTGTGCACCAAGCAAGTAAGCAAGCAAGCCAGTGAATTTATCCTCGGGTGAATAGAGTAAGATAGTGAAGTGATCCTAGCTCAATGCTTTCCTATCTGGTCCGAGCCGAGGGTTACTCTAAGGGATAGCTAGACTAGTTGCATGGCAACTTCCTCGATTCAGGACTGATGTGAATAGCCCTTTAAGGGGATCCCTCTCTCAGTCAGTCAAGTCGGAATCGAGTTCATACAGAGAGAGTCTGTTCAACTCTGCTTTGAAGCATTCAATGAAGTCAGCCTTGCTTGAAGGGAAGATAGTGAAGATGGATTGAGAAAAACCTTCTTTTCCTAAGCGCAATGCTCGGAAATCATCAACTTCAAATGGGCAATAAAGCCCGAGAGTCAGATAAGCATTCCTAGCTTTATGTTAAGTTAAAAAGAAGATCTGTCTGCTCTCACCTTTTGCCTTAGAAAAAGTTCAACCTACTTGAAAGAGGAAAAGGAAGAATCGACAAGTTTCGCATCTCTTGTCTCACTGCTTCCTCCTCTGAAGCAATTGCTGACTCGAATGTCTCAGGTACCATTGTCAATTACCTCAGTAGTTGTAGGAGCATCTTGTGAGAAAAGAATGTTATTATAGAATCCCTTCTGGTTGTAAGCTTTTCCAATTCGAAACTCGAAATCTCTTTTTTATGACTTCACTTCGCTTCGCTTCGTTCGTTGGGAGAAAAGATGCTCACTATTTGGCTTCTATAAGTGGCGCTTTCGATTGACTGCCTTCTTTCTCACTACTTCACGTTAGTGTGCAATTAAATCGACTCTAAAAATCTTTTGTGGTCTTGTCAGAGCCTTGCCGATTGCCCGTCCTTTTCAACTGATTTTGGGCACTCGGTGCACTACTCGTTAGGATCAATAAAAGCTTATTAAGAGAAAAGAGATTTGAATGCTGTTTTTTTTGTCACCGGAAGAGAAAGAGGTCAATGTAACCTTCCCTCGTACTATGGTCGAGTCTCGCTTTGCTCTCCTGCTATCATCCATGAAAGAAATAAGAAACTCCAAAAGTCCTTTTATAAATGGAGCAAAGACCGCAGCCGCGACAGTAAACATATGATCCGCCCAACCAAGAAATCCAGGAACACCTATACTGATTATCGATATCAAAGTGATTTTCCTTCTTTTTCCCATTTGAAATTGCATTATTTCTTTTGTAAACTAAAGATAATTTACCGCGTGGATATATAAAGAATCGAAACTCATAAGAAAGACGAAAGAGAATATCAGATATTCATAGAGGATAGATGTAATTTAGAAGAGATAGATTCCCTTCGCCTATCGGCTCAGTGGGAATAGTCCAATGGATGGAATAGGCGCACCACTGGCGAAACGGTCCTCCGCTTTGACTCAATTAAAGTTGGCTAATAGAGCATTGTCTGAACCGGCATCTTCGATGGCTCAGGAGGACTGTCATCCATAACAAGAAAGTTATTAAAGTAGCAACTTAATCGATTTGTCTATCGTTAAGAAGCGGATTAAATAATTACATATTACGTCAGCCTCTTCTGCGCCGATACGCGGCTCAGCTCTTCGCCTGTTCGCCTATCGGTGACTATTCAACGTCCTCTTCGTTGCTTCGCGACCACGCTTTTTCTTCTATCCCCAATTAATGCTGAGCTACTGAGGAGAACTATGGAACGCAACATTGACTTCTATGCGCTTGAGCTCGCAAAGCGACTATCCTTTCTATTTTAGTGGTACCCGCGTTGGTGCAGCCCGAGTTGGAACTTATCCCGTTTTTGAATCAATGTAATTATTTCAATTTCTGAATCAGATCGATGCAACGAAGTATTTAAGAGGGCCGAGTACATATTCACCGCGGGTATTCCTCAATGACCCTAGCCCGACTAAGATTTTGAGTATAGTTTGTTTGTTTTGACAAGATTCTATTTGTTTTGAGCCCGTCGAAGAGTTCTCGGACTATAAAGGGCCCTCCTTAATAATTGAAAGGGTATCCATTCTTCGACTTGACCAGAATCACCTGAAATTGCTTCTAGTGGAAGCCAGCCGGACTCGTCGGAAAGCCCGGAAAGGGCAACCGGGACCAACCGAACGAAACCACCCAGTATGGCATGCCGAGCTCTTCGCTTAACAGCTCAGCCACCGGCACTTCGCCTTACTAATCGCTTAACAACTGTTACTGTAAGCCTGTCCAGGAGGATGACGAGGTGACTTATCCACGCAGCGAACAAGGTAGCGGCGATAATACCCGCTTTTAGGTTCAGAGGGTCCGTTAGTTAGGCTCGATATAATTGACCTTGCATCTGCTCCGTCTATGAGGTCCAAAACCATTTTGGCATCTACTTCACAAATCACCCTCCGTCACCCTTTATTGAATGCCAGCTCTAACCCATACCTGATAGCCTGCAGCTCAGCAACAGTATTGGTGCAGACACCTAGATGTGCCATGAAACCAGTCCGCCATCTCCCTTCTTCATCGCGAATGAGTCCGCCAGCCCCCGCCACACCTGGGTTCACCTTAGCGGCACCGTCCGTGTTAAGTTTCACAAACCCCTCTTCAGGTTTTAGCCAAGCAAGAAGCTTTCCAGTAGTCATCTTATTTCTTTTCGGAGGGTAGGCATCAACCAACTCACGGATTGAGCTTGCAATAACATTAAGCACTTTTTCCCCATCAATCATAGCATGAGAATCAAAAACAACCTCGCACCGTCGCTTCCATAAGCGCCAAAGAACTGCTGCAAAAACCTTGCTCCATTCACAGCCCATGATCATAGGTAAATCATGGTTCCATAGGAAATTCTCAAACCACGGAACTGGATCCATATCAAATAACTCAACCCACCCCTTGAAAAAGGAATAGTTGCACGCCAAATAGCGGCCGCTTCCGGGCAATCACGAAGTGCATGAAAAATACACATAGCTTATGATTTGACTCTACCAGTTGTACTCCCAAGGCGTAATGCCGCAATGGTGGTACCTTCTAGTTAGGTCACAACAGTGTCATGGTTTTACCCGCATGTAACCGAACCTAGGTTATCTATACAATGTAGTGTTACCACATCTACCTGTATAGGTCTCGTACTGAATATGGGAAATTTACCGCCACTTACCCAACATTTTAATAGAAGGACAGCCAGCGGGATCTAATTAGCTTAAGAATTCAACCTACTTCTACTGAACCTAACGTGATTGAATAGACGAGTTCTTTTCCGTGAATAACTTTCATAATTAATATATTGGAACGAGAAAGGTGTCAGGATCCCGGCTATTGTTTTTGCAGAAAGATTCAATTAGAATCGCCGCTTTTCGACGGAGATCGTTGATGGTATAATTTACCTGTGCTTGTGGTAGATCCACTTCTGCCACCTAGTTACCAATCATCGGCTGGGGGTGTCCTCTTTCGTTTTGGGTCCACTTGTAGTAGGTTGTCGGGGCGCGAATCCGTTGCTTTTTCTGTCAGCGGCTTAGTTTTCTTCAAGTTCTTGCCTGACGGTTGCGTTTTCAGTATGCTTCTTTCATTCCGGCTTTACGTCATAGGGGTGCTACAGCTATCGCTAGCCCTTTTTTTTGTTTTCCAGCTGCTCAAAGGCTTGATTCAAGATGTAGGGAATGCTTGATAGTGGAGTGAGGAACGTAATAGTCGATAGATACGAACTACACGGAGCAAAATCAATCGCTATCTCACTCTATTGACAGACTCTCTGATAGGTCCTTTGATACTCGTATAGGTGTGATTTGAATAAAACCACTTTTTAGTCTATCGAGGGCAATTATAGCGCGCCTTTAGGTGCTTCAAGAGCTCGACCGAAAGGCTCGATTACATTGACCAAGCGAACTCCTTCTTTCTATAACTTTTGACCTACGACACAGGCTTCCCCAAACCGGCCTTCAAGGACAGATCCGCGGGGTCCCTACTAAGGGCCTTTTTCCACCCCCTTAGGTTTGGGAGAGCTAATGTTCCCAGTCGAGCAGATTTGAGCAAATTCACGACCGCTTCTATGACTGAACTTCGCTTCGCTTCGTTCTTTCAATCGCCGGACTCAATTGCATCGTACTTTTGTCTCCTCTCGAAACAACCACTATGATAAATAAGGTTTTGGCTTGTCCCAATTAGAAAAGCAAATAAGGCGGAGTTAGGGCATCACCATTCGCTGATATCGGCTCGTGCGCTGTTGAACACCCGTTAGAAAAAGGTTCGATGTAATTGAGAAGCTAAGGAAGTCACTGATTTGACAAGCGCTCGAAAGTTGGTAGCGTTGGAAGCTTTAGGAACTGGGCCTCAATTTAGCTGGGGTTTGCATGAGTCAGAGAAGAGAGAGTTGGATAAACCGAGTGGCAGATTCGCTGCCCCTGCTTTTTTCATTAGAATCATAGGCTCGCCTTGTTGTTGCTGGAACTATGTGGTATGGTTCAGCATCACTAAGGACATGGTGGGCTTCGCTTCGCTTCGTTTGTACCTCCCATCTTGCCAAGCCGGAAGAGCAAGTCGTGGCTTACCTTTACTTTACTTCTTTTGTACATCGAACCTGGTTTCAACATAAAAATTTGACTTCCTCTTGCCTCACTGCAAAGTGATTTCCGAAAGCTCCCAATAGGCCAAGTAGCCGCAACTATTAGCAAAATAAGCCCTAATCTAATAAGCTCGGCCCGAATCTCTCAATGATAAAGACTTTCTATATTCATCGCTTCGATTTCCCACATTCTAAAGATCCTGATCCAGATAGGGTCGGAGGTTTCCTTTCTTAAGCAATTCTTTACGCATTGACTGATACTGTAACATTTCTTTGGTTTTTTCTCTTCCTTGAGCTCTTCTTTTAGTTCTAGCACAGCCCTCTCGCTCTCTCATCTAGTTTCGTATACTACACTCGATCCCCTATTGGTTCAACCAACGGCTTCTTGCTCACCTGAGTGCGCTAGTGCAATTAAGGAAGCCGCACAATGCCAAATGAGGTCTCTGGGCTTCCCGTGTATTCATCTAAATCTGGGACTGAAACCAGCCTTCACATGGATCTCGAACCTCTCCTCAATTACATCGAACGAAGCGAAGTGAAGTCAAGAATAAGGTAAAGGATGGAGATACTGCAGATTAACAGGTTGGAGCTTCAAAACCTATTACATTGGGAGTTGGGCCCCTGCCCAGCTGGTCCCCTTTCCTGCCTTAAGGTGTGTTAGAAGGAATGCTTACTAGGGTCAAGGTTTAGGAGTTATTCTTCTCCCTCAGGTTCGATGTAATTGACCTGCCCTACCTTCCCTGATATTAGAGTCTCTTATAGGGAAAGGTGGGATAGACGGAGTAGGAAACCTTCATGTCTTTATGTGACCCTTTGGCTCTCGGGTCCTTCGGACTCCCTTCTCTCTTTGATCGATTTAATCCTTGGGAGTCGTTGACTCTGTCTTTAAGGACGTTACTGGTTCGTTCGATCGGGACATCTTTTTTACTGGTGCTTCTCGCTGGAAGTTCCGTTACAGCCATTGCAAGTTCTGTTATCTTACCTCCAGCTTCATTGATAAGGTAGGCCCATCCGGGTGGAGTAGTATTTGCCGATGGATAAGCAAACCTACCAGCAAGCAGTGGTGGCATCCCTTCGCTCAATTATGGATGCGGTTCAACATAGGGGATGCTCATCTATTACGATATTCCCATTTCGGTCTTAGCTGTCCTTTTTATGACTTCACTTCGCTTCGCTTCTAAAGTTGGGTAAAGAAATCCAACTCGCCACGGGAATAAAATGACCAAAGTGGTAATCTTAGAACTTCGATAGAGGCACTCACTCTAACTCGTAGTCAAAGGGTAACTTAAACTCCCCTAAGAAAAGGCATGGATTCGGAAGTACTAGGGTTCCACAGTTTCTACTTCTTTTAATTCAAGTCTTCCTATTCCTAGCCTAGCAGAGAGGAAGCTACCCCTATTCGTTCCCTGGTTGATGTAGAAAATGTTCGGATGTTCACAAGTCTTCGCCGTAAATCAAGCTCCCCCGGGGATAGGAAAAAAACTAGCAGGAAGGGTATTACGCTTCAAGAGAAGTGGTCAATTACATCGAGCCTTACAGACTGATTTTCTTACCCGGATGAGGATTCTACAGAAGATGATGTAAAAGACTCAACGCTTCCTCCCCTTTCAGAAAGACTGTCCTACCCGAGGGTTAGTAACTAGCGAACCCCCCAAACTAATTAAATTAGCATTCCTGCCTACCGCTACACGTGGGCGCAGGAAGCGATTTCAATCGGTTTCAAACCTAGCAAAGAGCGCAGAAGTGAGACGGATTCAATTACCTTGGATCCTAACCCTACATGCGTAAGAGGGCTCGCCCGTATTCCGTTCGCTGGTTCAGAGCCAAGCCCTTATTGCGAATCCGCCTCCGGGAAATAGTTATTATAGAGCATCCTCCTGTGACTCAAAGACTAAAAGCATTTCCTTTGGTATTGACTGATGATAGGGTTAACGAGAGAATTCCTATTCCTATTTCTTACCGCGGAGTGGGTACTCTAATCATTCAATTCTAAACCCTTTTCTTTTTTGTGGATTGAAATTCCACTACAAAAGTCTCTTTCTCTTTTTTTTCTTACCTAGCTGGTGTAATTAAAAAACCCCTTTGTTCATAGGAATTACAGAAAGCTTTTGAGGAGAGCAAAGTGAGACTCTACAAACTTTTCGAAGCGAAGTGAAGTCAAAGAATTCAAAAATGAGTTTGGAATGGATGAGAGCCTTGTGGGTGCTTGAATACAGGGCTTGACTCAGCCTTGACCTCCCTCGCTCAATTCGAGAGAAACCCTTGCTAAAAGGGAAGCATGTAGTTCTACTCAATAAGAGATCATAAGGATTCAGTTTAGGCTCTATGAAGTAAATCAGGAGTCGCTTGGCTAATAGGATTGGAGACAATTACATCGTACCTCAACCGTCTTCCTCACCGTCTTTAGATCCGGTTCCACCTACTGAGTCAGACTTCTTGCTCCCCAGAAAGGTAGACGTTCTTGTGTCACCAAACATCCCATTTTCTTTCATTAGTAACTCCTGGTTCGTTACGTATACTTCACTTGCTCCGTGGCATCTCGATTCTTTTTTCTTTTTCTTCCTAAACAGGATGATGAGTGGTAATTCCAGGCTAACTAGATCGATTGGTTAGCTTTTCAGGAAGTGAGATTGTTCGGTAGCTCTTAGAGTGATGGATAAGTGCTATCTAAAGGATCAGATCCTTTTCCTAGATCTTTGAAGCCCTACTAAGAATGACTTGCCCAGTCTTCTGACTTTTCAATTGCAGCTTTCTTTGGATGGTGAGTAGAGGCTCGATATAATTGACCACCTTTCTTTCGTCAGTCGCCATGGCTGATTGAAAGCAAGCGAGATCAAAGCTTCACATCACAAAGATTCGCAGTTGTATACGCTCTTTCTTCCGCAAGAACGAATTCGGAACAAATCTACTTTCATTTTAGAAAGGATATTTTACCGGGCAGGGAAACTAGCTAAGCTAAAAGAGAAGTTCGCCTGGAAACCTCGTATGGGCCACCGGTAACTGGCAATGGTTAGCTTTTCAGGCTGTTCTGAATGAGGCTTCTCTGAGCTAGTGGCATCGATTTGGTTGCCCGGAGTGGAGTTCCTTGTCGAATCTAATGATGATACATTGCATTTATTGGGCTTTATATCCCAAATATTCTAGGGCAAGAGAGCAAAATGACTTCCGGGAAAGCTAGCCTAGCCTCCGTATTCTTCTTCTTCATAAGCTGCTTGTGTCCCCTGCGCAGTCTGACTTCAAAGAAGCGAAAATCCCTAAAATGGATCGAGGTAGGACATAGGTTATGATGCGGGTCATCGGACTAAAGAAGAGTACATAGCTTGCTTTTGCTCGCCACGGATCATTGTACCTTCTGAATGCGGCGAATAGGAGCGAGGTAGGAGCTGCAAGGATTTGAACTATGGAAGCTAGAAGAGGAGCCTGAAGAGGAGGAGAGCTGGCTCCAGTACTGAATAGGGTTCCCGATCATGGAAGGTGACAGTAGGGATTGGTCTCTGATGGCTTGGGGAGGCTCGATTCAATTGACCTTGCTTGAGACCCTTACCAGCAGTTTCACCTGTAGAAGATGGGAATGGAAGCCTTTACGCTCATATGAGGTTTTTCCTTGAATATGGGGTTACGGTACTGCGTTACCTTTCTTGACTTCCCTGGGCCTTCGTCCTCGGCCTTTGGGAGATGCGATTGGATGCTGGCATGACGACTGGGTTCAAGGCTTTTGGGTCAAGTTGAATATATGTAGGGGCTTTCTCACCTTTGAAACTAGCCATAGTGGTCTAATAATCAACAATGAGTCTTACCTTATACAAAAAAGGTAGGCTTACCTCTTTTCGTTGGTCTACTTCTGATTGAAAGCTTCACTGATCTCCGATATAAAGGAGTTTATTCAAAAACCATGGGTTTGCAAACTACAACATGTGCTATGGGACCCATCTCTCAATGCGATCGAGAAGACTATTTAAGCCGAATAGACAACTTCCCTTTCTGTAGGATTTGGCATGGAGCCGCAGGAGAGAGGTCAACAGCTACTTGGAATCAACGAGCTTCTTTCTGAAGTAATGCATGACTGCTTTCCTTTCCAATCGGGAACTAAACCCTTCATTCAATAATCCATCCGTGGACTCAACACTTTGCTTCAGAAGAAGCTCTTTCCCATTTTTTGCCTGTCCTGTACTTGACTTTGGGTAATTCATCTAGTGGAGTGCCCTAGCGGTTATAATTAGAATCAAATCTCATGATGCTTTGAACTCTGGTACTCTTTCCGTTGAAGGAAAAAGCGTAATCATCAAAGTGGATGAATCAACTCGACGGATGGATGGATAACTAAAGCGAGTCGACTCTCTTGATCTCTGCCTTGCTCGATGGAAGAGGCGTCAGAGTATAGTGGACTCAATTACATCGACCCTCGTCTTCAATGCGAAATCGCATTGCGACGAATGAAGAAGAAGGTCCCGTTATTTCCCTACCGATTCGAACCCGAGGGCATTCGATGGAGGAAGAACTTCTACGCAAACAGAAAAGACTGGGACCCTCCAACTGTAGCCTACTCTGGGATCTAACGCTCTGTTTATTAAATGCTATACCAATCATACTTACGAGAATATCCTCGAGAAGGCGGATGCAAGGCTAGCAAGTTGGAAAGCCGGCTTGGTTGACAGTTAACTGATTGCCCCATTTCCAGAAAGGACAGCTTCTCATCCCCACAACGGTAAAGTGCTTATGTTGACACTAGCGAGTTTCTCGGAAGTAAGAAAGAGGGTGCCTTGACTTAGGGTCTACTGACCGAACCCTCAGTTCGAAAGCCAGTCTTCGGCGTCTTATTCCTAGCTAGGGGTAGAAACTGAAAGATTATAAAAGGGATTAGACGCAGAAAAAGAATCTTGTGCTGGGTATGAAGAGAAGCGGTGCGCATATGAAAGAATGATTATTAAGAATCACGCTTGGAAAAAATGGATTTCTTTTCTAAAGAATCGGTGGGCGGGTAGAGTTAACTAATCCGGTAGCGAGGGGATGATGAACAATAAGGGAAGGTACGGTTTGCAAACTTTTCGAAGCGAAGTGAAGGAAAGGTGTAATTGAGAAAGATTCTCTTTTCAAGGCTAGAAGTGCTATAAAGGAAAGTAGGTAGAAGAAGGATACAAGAACTCTCTTGCTATACCTGAATCAGTTTGACTCAATGCTTGCACTCTCAATTACATCGACCCTTTCTACGATTCTGAAGAGTCAAGCCCTGCTAGTATGCCTCGAGAGCCTGAGCTACTATTTGATTTTCCTTACCCATATCTCACAGTTAGTACCCTCAAAGCCATTGCCTTTCAAGTAGAGCGTCTTTTCAAGTCAGTCTTGTCCCGCCTGCTCGTTAGCAAGTGCCTAGGTCCCGTACGACAGCTCTCAAGCCTACCCCTAAGTCAAGTCCTGTCTCCAGTAGCAGCTTCGCTTCCAGGTCTGCTTCGGGCTATGGTCATTGATGGGAGAAAATTGTACTAGCACGAACAGTTCTGCTCAGTTTTCTTCTTTTTATTGAAGTTTATTGAAGTAGCCTTCCTTCGCTCGTAAGGATCAAGTCTCATTATGCTCAATGCCTTCGTTAAGCAGAGAAAGTCTCGTTCTACAACTCAAAGAATCAGGTCAATTATATCGAGCCTTCGCCTATGAGAAATCAGAATTGGATGGAGCAAAGTGAGAAGCGGAATTAGAATGAATGAGAGACTACGAATGCGGCTTGCAACTCCTACTCGAGCTTCTGAACTTATATCATACCCTTGCCTTGGCTTAGGTCCTTTTGATAGACTTTCCGCAGCTCAGTACTGCAGATCGTTGACGCTAAAAGCTCCTTGTGACAACTTTACTTACTGCTGTACTTCTTAAAAGAGAGAGAGCTGTCTCGTCTTTGGTGACAAAACTTCTCTAGTTCATCCCGAGAGTACTGGAAAGCGAACCTGTCAAGCAAGTGAAGTGATCCGTCAGGGGGAATCCGGGGATAGCATTTTCTCTGCCCTTACTGAGTGCCTTTATCGAGCTTTAGCTATGGGAAATCCCAGTCTACGGGCTTAGGTGGCATCTCTTTCTTCTTTCCCAAATCGACTGCCTAAATATAACATCGATCGAACTTGTTCTTTCGCATAGAAAGCGAAGGTGTCGAAGTCCGCTAAGACATAACGACTGCTCGAAGCGGTGACAAATGGAATAGCAAGAATCAATGGCTATTCATCGTTATAGTAAGTCTTCTATGCTTTCCTCATGTTTTATTCAATCAAACTAAGCGAAAGCTTTAAAGGTCTGCCCTGTATTTAATGAATGCTTCAATCCATTAAGTAGTCTCCCTTGCCCAAAGCATCAGGCAAGACAGACACGATAGAATATCCGATTCAGTTCGTAGGGAATCCGAGAGGGTCCTTCTATTCTTCCCATAGAAGTTAGACGATCCTAAGCTTCCGTACTGAGTTCCGGAAACCGATCTCCAGAAAGTCCTCGAGGCTAGTAAACAAGGCGTCCCAAGGCGAATGCAAAGAATTGGCCCTAAGGAGAGCAAAGTGAGTCTCAAAGAACTTTTCGAAGCGAAGTTCAGTCATATAAATTCGGGACCATCGATGAGATTCTAAGTCCGCGGTAACTACTCTTTCGAATGACTGATTTACGGCTGCTGACTTAGACTTCTTTCCTGCTTATCTACTAAAGCCTGTAACTCAATCGAAAAGGGATGCTAGCAGGGATAAGGCACGAAGGCAGTCAGACTTCTTTCGAACTTCTTACCAAGCCTAGCAGAAGGAAGCTATGACTTCATTCAACTGCTTACGGCGGGGACCTCTTTAAGCCTTTTTAGTTAGGCTTTGATCCAATAAGGGTGTAAGAAGAGAAAGACTAGTTCGGGGATGATAGTCAGCAAAGGTAAACATCTTCTTATCTAAGGACTTCGGATCAGATGAAATAGTGAGTTCACGGGGACTAGGTCCTAAAGGCCCCTGGCTTAATGGATTGATTCTTCTATCCGCCTTCCCTAACTCCATATTAAAGGGATGCTGACGGACTGAAGTGGGGAATCCCAATTGGTCACGAGAAGGCGTCAAGTCTGCTATTTCGTCTCATTCGGAATCTCAAGACTTCATGTCAACAACAAAGTCAACTACATCCTTTACTCCCCGATCTGGCTTAGCGAGAAAACGGAAGAATTAGTACAGTCTGAGCCGTCAGCCAATAGAGTAGCTTTCTTCGTTGCTGCCAGATCTTCCAATGCTAAATCAACTGCTACAGCAATTCTTAAGGGCGGGATGGTAACTCAATCTCTATAGGGAGCAGCTCCTCCTCTATAGGCCTTTTCCTCAGTCAATTCCCGGATCAATGACTTGGGACTAGTAGGTTAATCACAGGGATGAGCAGCGAGATGTAGTTTTCTGGGGCTGCTCTTTCTCCTGCCTTGAATTGCTTTTTAGATGCTTTTAGGTCGGTGTAAACAGTGAGGAAGCTATCTGTATGGGGAAGCTAGCTCAAGACCCTCCGGATTCTAGGGAAATTTTGGCATTAAGGGTGGTGCTAGGGCTCAAGACCATTTGGAAGGGGGAGTTGGATCATAAAGAATAGTTTTTTCCTTTGTTTGAAGAGGAACAATCCTACCGGACTCATTTGAGATATCCATGGCTAAACTTATTGTCTGAGGAAGAAAGCTAATGAAAGCAAAGGTCAAGAAGATCTTGGTTTAACATTAGTTAGTCAAGCCGATTCGAATTCTTTGTTTGATTGGGCTGTTGTGCCTGACTCCATACTGACGCAAGAGAGAAAACTCACACCGCACGGGCTTTGACTTCTGTCAAAGCGGATTCTCTTCCTGAGCCTTCAAGCTCCTCTCACGATGCCAGAGTGCCTTGACTTCACCCTTTAGTCAAAGCGAAGAGATGTCTGCCTCTTTTGGACAGTTAACTTCTTTTCTTTTTCCGGGGAGGCGGTGTAGTCGGAATGTCTTGGCAAGAATAGTTGAGAATCAGCTGTTATAGGCTCCAAGAAAGAATCTCTTAGGAATCTCTGTCTCTATGTCATCAAACGGTTTGATCAATAGAATGATAAGAGCAGGGGGCATCCATAGTAGGAAGAGGACAAGGAAGTGATTGATCGGAGTTTGCCAGGCCAGGAGTTGAAGAAGGAGCTAGCATTTCTTCAGTGATCCATCTCGTTCCAACAATTGTTCTTACTCGTTTAGGTCAACTCGTCAATCCGTATCTATCTAATAGCCGCCGAAAGCCAAAGCTTCACTCCAGGTCGAAATCACTGCCTTTCGATCAATCCTTCTATCCATGAAAGCCTACCATCGACACTGACTCAATGCAAGGGAAGACACGAACGAGATAAGAGAAGAAAGAAATAGAATCGACTTTGATGGCTCTTTTCCTGAACTGAACAAGCAACGGATTGAGCAACTAGCGCGAAAGCCGTTGCGCTAACGCGCATCCGTTTTCTTGCTGCTTCGCTTCGTTCGTTGGGTACGGAAGCTTCTCGAAAAGTAAGTATTAAAAGACGCACCAATTTTAGGATCTTATTTCAAACATCTGATTAGTCAGTATATTTCCTTAGTGAAAAAGTTGCATCTCATATAGCTGCAAAATGAAGCAAGTCACTTTTCACTCGGAGACCAGATGTTCAATTGCAAAAGTGTCGTTTTATATAGCTGTGAAATTTCCTATTCAACTAAGGAGCTAATCTTTAAAGACTGCTTACACGCGTTCTTCGATCGTGAAGAAACTCTAAAACCTGGATTCTTTCCCTCGTCACTGTACTAACGAGCTTGAGCCTGAAACCTTTACTTGCATCTGCTCACCTTGAACCTGACCGGAAGAGGAAGTCTGAGAAGACTGGAGAGTTGGACCCGAGGTACGAGCCTTTCACCTGCCCCTAGAACCGGAGCCTGCTTTTACTCAACTACTGTAGGAAATGCCGATACCTTCCGCTAATAGACTTCGCTATTTAATATTCCCCTCAGAACAGAACCTAAGACTAACTAAACCAAAGGAGATCTCTATTTACCCGTCGGTCTGGTCAATGATTGGCCTTGCTCGCCTAACATATATATGATGGGATGGTTTCACTAAACAGATAAGGCACCTGGAATCTTCCTGACGATCAATCACCCACGAGCGGTCTGAAACGGAGGTTTCGCATATATGACTTCGAGTGGTCGATTTCCGGACCTGGCAAAGAGATTAAGGCTTCGACCCGAGGTACGAGTCTTGCGCTTTCGAATAGGGTTTGAAATATGGTAAGTAAGGTTGCAGATTCCAGATTCAGGCTGGCAAGGGCTTCAACTAGGTAGCTAAGAAGGTCCGATGCAGACAAGGCAGCCTCTTCCGTCTTCCCGGATTGAGAAACAGAGCAAATGGCCTGGCGCGAGGTCCCTGGGTTCAACAATCAGTAAGAAGTTCCAATTCGGTATAATAGAAAGAAATTTGAGGCACCTACACGATTCCTGAGGTCCAAACACCCACGAGCACCTCCAAACTCTTGTTTTCCAGTAATCAATATCGGGTTTCGGCTCGTACCTCGGGGATCGGGAAAGAGCGGGATACCAGGACTCGTCGACAGCCGTGGAAGTGACCGAGCTCTGGTCGGGAAGGATGGTCGAATACCCTGCATTGGAACTGACATCCTAGTGGGGAGTGAGAGTCTTGGGGTCTGAAACTGGCAAAGGAAGTGAATTGACAGTCCTCAATCTTTCGACCAGCTAAGCTTCATATCAAGTTCTATCAAGTAGGTGGTCAAAAGAAATAGCGTAATAAATGAGTGTCATTTCCACAGCACAGATAAGGCACCTCCAATTCCAATCTTACCGACGATAAATAAAAAGATCAAAAGCTAGGCAAATCAAAGAGATTTGCGATTCGTGACTGAGAAAATAGGCGCTGGAGTTCGAAATGAGGGAAAGGGAAAATCCAATAGAATAGTGGTTAGAAATGTACAGATTTCGCTCCTTGATTTTATAGATAGGACTTTGGATCCGGATTTGCCGTAAGAAAAGAACAGCCAGAACTGTTGGACTAGAAAGGAAAGTACCAGAAATGGGATCTAAATCTGATATTAACCAAGACAACTGGAAGATTCCAAACCATGCCAAACCATCATTCACAAGGGCCTCAAAAGAAAGAGCGATTGGTGCCTGAGAAATGAATTAATACTTCATGTTCGAGCTCCATCATGGACTAGGGACTTTAGGCCTTGGCTTTTAGCAACCACAGCTTCCGGGTCCTCAGCTAACAATGGGGAAATCCGGGCCTTTGCCTCAACTTCTGAGACTTTTCTCGTCGTTTTCATGGACAGTTAATCACAGGCTAGAATCCTGCCCTCTCACGAACTTCAGACATAATAGAGTCTATCCCTTCCGCCGCTCCTCCGAAGCCAGGTGTTTCACCCGATCTTCAACTTTAGACTGAATCTGGCCGAACGAAAACCCGCTTTGACCGCAGGGGGGTTTTGCCTATTGGGCTCGGCTTTCAGTAACTAACGGGCAAGGATCCACCAACTTACGAGGAATTCCGACTCAACTGAAGCCTGGAATCGATACTTATTGTTGAACTTTCGACCTTAGGGCCTTGGATGTATTTACCGGTTTTACCGGTCCTAAAGGAAAAAAGTATTTTGTCAATTTTTATCGAATCCGGATTTAAGGGTCTGAAAGTGCTATGGGCAAAACTCACGTAAACAGGACCTTGTGACTGATCTATCCTAACGTCTTTTCGAGGGGTCACTTTTTGATGACGCCCTTTCCGGTAAGGTACGCCCTGTGGTCCTGTTTTTTAGGAAAGTAGATCCCTACGGTAGTAGTTTCTGTTTCTCAGGCAGCTACCTATCTCTCGTTTTATAGTAGTCCTAGTTCTTGTATTGATTGACTGATAGCACGGAAAGACTCTCATGACTGTCTTTACTTTCTTCTTTTCAGGGATAGGTTCAGGCCACGGCCCTGATTTCCAAGTATTTCTTAATCTTAGGCCCCGGTTTAGATTCCAACTTGGCTGGCGCTATCCTACTTTCTTTTCTTCGTATTTTATTTCGTAGCTAGGGCGGATTTGCCAGGAGTGGAAGAGCTAATGAGTTCCTGGAACTAGAGAGTTTGAATCATTACTTACGACATAACGACAACAGAATGGGCACTTACATGTGCCCCCCGCGTCAAGTGTTTCCTTTGTCCGATCCGCTTAAAGTAAGATGTTGGCTCCAGGCCTCCAGAGTTAGCAGCAGATTCCATAACAGAAAAACTAGTTTCAGACGGTAGCTATATGCTTAACACATGTTGATTGAAGTCGCACATTATAATAAAAGTAGTTCCTCTGGTGTAAATAGCAGCCCCCAGGGCCTTTATATCAGTACCTCGCGGGAAAGGGATCCACCAACTGAGGAGACTTTTTACTGAACCTGGTAAACGAAATCAAGATCCAGATGCGGACTAAGAAAGTGACGAGCTTTTGGCTGCTCTTCTCCTCCCGACTTAACTTGTAGGCTTTTGACAACGGGTGTTTCATCCTCTTTCAACCCCGATACGGAAAACAGCTCTACCTGTTTTTCTTTCCCTATTACTTCAGACAGAATTGCCTCGAGAAAAGAAACCTTTGGATCAAAGCCGGGTAATTCTAGAGCCCGAAGGCTCTGACCTTCTTACCGTATCACACCTTGAGACGATACTTAGTTGCTTCTTTTTGATTTCCAGATTGAAAAAGTTATGCTCAAATATTCCCTCGTGCTAGCTAATGGGGACTTCCACTACCGAACAAAAGAAGAAGTATCTCCCGCTTCCTGCAGCCAATGTAGCTCCAAGCAGCTACCGATGCCGAGTCTTTAGTCAAGATCTGAGGCATTCTGCTTCCCTTGTTCCAGCTGCCGCCGAAAGGATGGAACCTAGCCTTTACTTTGATTATTGGTTCGTAAACACCTGAGATGTGTAGGTTGAGTCCCGCTCTAGAGTAAAGTACTTCCTCTCAACCGACGATTCCCCGATTCGCATAGCTTCTGACCAAACATCTATAGGTACACGCGTAAGAAAGTTCTGACTTGCGCTTCCGCCATCCCCCTATTGCCGATCATCATAAAACTCTTCGGTGCAAAGAACCGCCCACAAGGCCGAATCCTCCACCGATTCCGTTCTATTAACAATGGCTATCTTTGACTCTGCCACGAAATCAGCCCTTTCCAAACCTCGGACAGCATCAGCCGCCTCGACAAAAGAAAGAATCAATCCTTTAGCGTCCAATCCGCCACCAAAAGAAAAGGACTAATTCGATAGAGGGCTCTACCAATCCATGAGCCGGGGGAGATACAGATATGCCCCTTTGTGGGCAAGCTTTCAGCAATCAGAGTCCACAGAGAAGGGGAAAGTCCAGCCTATAGGCCCAAGGTTTCTGAATGTCAGGATTGATCCATAGCTGGAAAAGGCGCTTTCTTAAGAGCGAGTCCTCTAGGAATGACAGATCTCTCGACAATAGTTGTCCATCGGTCATCGCTTTCAGAATGCCAGCAAGAAAAGGGGTCCAATGAGAGCTATAAGAGACGTCTGGCCGGAGGTCTTTTCTTTCAAAAAGTACTATGCATGCTTAGCACACGAGTATTGGAAACACGATATGAGTTCGTTGCCCTTGATGAGCTGGATGCGGGACTGAAAGTACTAATTCAATAAGGGCTCTACCGATCCTGAGCTAGGAATTTAAAACCCTTGCCTTTTCTGACCTTCTTATGAAACCAGGACTAGCAAATCCGATCAGGGATCTAGCTCGCAATCCTTTGACCTCAAGACTTGCTGGGTAAATGCCAAGCCAGCAACAGCAAATCAAGAAGAAGGCTTTGGAGTTCGGATTAGTGGTCGAGAAATATCATATAAATATGGTAAAAGAAATAAAGCAGGATTGCGTTGCCGAGTCTGATCCCAGTGGGAATTGGTAGTCCAGTGGTTTAGATCCGAGCAGTCAAGCGGATCTTCCAGCTGTTCTGTCTAATGGGGTCGGCTCGTACCTCGGGTATTGTTTTCTTTTCCAGCGAGTTCGGAATTCGTATTGCATCTTTTCCGGGAAGGAGTTGGAGTGAGTTGGTTTTCCCCGTCTGGGAAAAGCCTGGCAAATGCCGGAAGGAAAACACAAGCTTTATAAGGGTCTGGTATATATATGTATATATTTGTTTGACTAAATGAAATCCCTGAAGCCGGTGGGAGAACCAATACCAATGCCCAATGCTGGGAGTTTCAAATACCGGTAAAAAGAATGGGGTTGAATTGAAGAGTTGCTCCTGTCAAGCGATCAAGGACTATTTTCATTACCAGCTTTCCGAATAACCGTAGAGGCAAGAGTAGAGGAAGTTCCACCTTTCTTTCTCAGACCGATATGACTTAGCAGGTTGGGGAATTAGGAATGAACCGAGGGTCCTAGACAAGCCGGATAGCGATCGGTAAATTCCAATGTTTCGGGGTAAGGGAGTTCGCAAGTCCGGTCCATAAATCCAATATGGTAGAAGGCTGGATTTAGGAGTCTGTCTAGATTTGATCCGGCATTTATGAGTCCATTGGTTTCGATCCAATAACAAAACAATAAAGAAGAAAGGCGTGCAGAAGTCGTTAAAGAGCGGGGCATTTACCAGGCCAGGATGATGGAAAGGGAGTTCGGATTCGATTCTATGTCCGGTCGGGAAAGAAGGGAAAAGCGGGGAGTCAGAGGCAAGGCATCGGTTCTTGTTGTTTCTTGCTTCCACGGGTCAAATCCGTAATCTCAATCAATTCCCTTATTTCCGGTCTAATCAAGGGAAGAAGCCAAAGAAGCGGGGATTCCCCATCCGTTTGGGGAGTTGGGATTACCAGTCAGATCCGTCCTGAACTCGCAAGTCGATCTTAGGAGTGAAGTGCGCGTAGATGGTTCAAAAAGATGGATAGTAGGATTTCGATTAGATTCGTAGTGCTGGTCCAGGAAGTCGGGAAAGGGCGGCGATCTTACAAGTCTGTTCGGGAAGTATGGTAAAAGCATCAATATGGAAGTTAGAAGTTCCTGTTTGATGCCAACGAAGGCGTACTGAAGTCGGAAGTGACAGTCCTTCGACGAGATCACCTGGGGTCGCAAGAAGGAAAGCGAGTTCGGATCTGGAAGTTAGACCCCTTTATTTGTTAATGGAAAACCTGAGTTTGATATTTATATGACGAAGAATACACGAGCACCTCGAAACAACGGGTTCTCTTATATGACATCGATCGGACAAATCCAGAGAAAGCTCCGAGTTTACCGGTTGGGGTCAGAAAACCTGAGGAAAGGATGCCAGCAATGAGATCAGAAGCTCTGCTCGTACCTCGGGTAACAAGCGGCGGAAACAAGACAGATAGCCATCCTGGTTTCCCGTGGATATGACAGAGAGAAGACCTCGGGTCGGGAATTATGCTCAAATCCGAGATCTGGATTGCTGATACGGAGATTCTGGATTGGATTTTGGATCCCAGGATTGAACCAAGACAACTGGAAGGTGCAATCACAAGCAAGCCCTTCCAAACGTGGGTTTTGCATATATATATGCGATCGAGGGGTTGAAATCCGAGGTGGGCAATTCATGCCCTGTAAGTCGAGGAATTACTGATCTTGTGGAAGTCCACTGCTAAAGAAAATCCATATAACTGCCATATTATGAATTCAGTCAACAACATCTTTGACGTATCGAACAATGGAACTGATCTTAGACAGCTAGTTGAGCGTGAAGAACGGGTGTTATACTGCCTGTTGGAATTGATCAATTCAATACGAAGTCTAGTCCTAGCGTATCAAAGAAAGGACAAGCCATCTGGGATCAAAGTAAGGATAGATCACACGCGAGCGGTTCCTTTCGGCCGTTTTCTATTTCCGAGATCGGGGTCGGAATCGGGCAAGGCAGATCGAAGAAGACGGCTAATACACCCTTGCACCGGCCCGCTCAACTGCACTTGAGCCTGACCTGCTTTTATTAAATACTCTAGGAAATGCCGCTCCTTTACTACCGGGCTTGGACCAGCACCTGCCAACAGACTTCGCTTCGGTATTTACTATTCCCCTCAGAACCTAAGAAAAAAACAAGGAAGGTCAGTATTTACCCGTTGGTCTGGTCCCTGATACTGATTGTCCTTTACACGTGTCTTACCGAGATATGGCATTTATATAGATCTTCTCATCTTAGACGCGTATCGTATATTATATAGGCTGGCGTTTACACTACAGATTTTGTTACATCTAACATCTAAGGCCCCTTGGATTTCGCTTTTGATCAATCACCTTAGAGGGGTTGCAAACTCACGTTTTTCATATATCAGATTTCGAGTCGTTCCTGTACTTGTATATGGATTCCTGGCTTTGCCATATAGAATATGGGGGTTTAGATCCATCAGGGAAAAGAGTACAAGGTTCGGTCTAAAGGAACGGGCAAGGGATAAAGTTTTGTGCTTTCAGCACCTTTAGTTCCTGTACTTTTATCAGGATGATTTAGGTAGCAGGTTCTTTCTTTAGCGGGGCTCGGGTGAGTGAGTAAGCGAGTAGGCGAAGGTCCAGGTGACGAGTGTCAGGAGCGATCGATCTTCCAGTCTTTCATGAGCCTAATCATATCATAATACGAATATGGCTGGTAGGACCGAAGGAGCTCAGTAAACGGTCCAGGTACGGGCTCAGGGCGAGGAGCGGTGGTCCAGTAAACGGGTGAGCGAGTTGGTGGAACCAACCATCTGTCAGTAAACGAAAGAGAGTCTAGCCAAATGGTTATGGTGACGCGTGTAGGTGAGCAGGTGATCGTCTAGCTCTTGAGTTTCTGAGCTCTTCCTCGTAATCATAGTACGAATATGACAAACCGGTTATACACCGAAGGCAGAAGAGCTCTGCTCTGACAAAAAAGCGAAAACCAGTAAGGAGTCCGATTGAACCAATTAACGGTACTTGCCAGCTACGTCTCGACTCCAGCTGCCCTTTTTTTTAGACCGACCCATGTACCCAAATCCCTAATGCGGTATTACACACGCATGTATAGAAGTGCAGGATTGAAAGTCCTACTCTTTCACAAGCTTACNGATTCTTTATTCAGCTAGTTATTCAGCAGCCACTAGCCCAATCGATCGGTCTAAACGCGGAAACTGAAGCCCTTTTAGAGGAGCCTAACTAGGGACTTTTCCTAACTTTTCTTATTTTTTTGTTTAAAACACAATAATAGTTCAGTTCACTCCTATAGAGAGTCAAAGTAAGTCCTCTTCTCGTCTCCAATTGCATATTCTTTATCAAAGATAGTGTTCGTGTTCCGTGTAATGATCCGCGCCTGTGTAGCGCCTTTTGAACCCATTCCTAACTAATAGCAGGAGAACCAATGTAAATTACAAAAGTTATATATTGAGAAAAACAGTTCTTTAACGATCCCTTGTTCCAGAGGGCTGGCTTTCTTGTCAAACTTGGAAACCCCGATCTGAGAAATCCACCCCGATATTGATTACCAGAAAAGAGGAGTTTGGCAGGGCTTGCTTGTGATTGATCGTTGGTAAGATGCGCTTATCTGGCCTAAAATCTTGAATCTTGATTTAATTAGCCAATCCGTTTCCGACCGAGGGGAATCTTCCAAGCGCTATCCGTTTTCCGGCTTGTTTCGGACCCGAGGGTCATTTCCAACCCGGGAAGACCACGAAGCTCTAGTTTTGGCCAAGATCCTGAGGTTCTCAGACAAAAAAGGATCCCATTTTCTCCCTCCTCGGATTTCGCCCCGAGATTTCTATCCCAGCGTCTCGAGGTGCTCGCGTGTGATTGATCGTTTGGAATCTTCCTGTTGCCTTTCTTGTACTTACTTACACTAGAAAAAGAGTGCTCTATCAAATCCGACTCCGACGCAAGGTTTAGAAAAAAGACCAAGCAGATGTGTAAGATGCATGAATACCCGAGCGACTCAAGTAAGTGGTTTCAACTGCCAAACAACCCGGGCTCGTAAATCAATCCGAAATCCTGGATTTCCAAACCGCACTTCTCAACCCCTCTAAGGTGATTTTCATTTGACCTGACTCGAATTCCACAGGCCTTAAAGCAAGGGTTTTCTGAGTTTGAAGTCAGCTCCTCAGCTTTCTAGGTTGGGTTTGATTCATGTCCTGGAATCAGCCAAGCTCTATCCTCAAGAGTCTTTCTCCATCAGTCTTGCTATCGCACACATACCCGTGGCATTGCAGACGATAGCGGCGGTGGACCCAAAAACCAGACTTGCCCCCAAGAGGAAACTTTTTCCTGTAAGTTAGAAAAGAGCCTTGGGGATGTTATCTGGAATTCATTTGAGTACTCGTTTTGTTTGTCCAGAAGAAAGAAGCTTAGCCCATCCTACTCGAAAACCAAGTACTGTGGGCGATGGGTTCCTCGCTCCGAAATCTTCTACTCCTCAACAGAGGGAAGTACCCGTCTGAATTCGCAATACTAGGAGAATGTTCTGGATTCTGTCTCTACTGGCCAAGCTATTTCACAACCAGCATAATAGAATTCTCAAAAGCGAAAGGAAGAAGCCAAAGAGAGAGGAAAAGGCTTGATCTTGCTATTGTGCTATTGGGATTGGAAAGTACACTCCATCTTAATAAGAAAAGAATGAGTCTAAAATCTCGATAGGACTCTCTAGTTTGGGTAATAGTTCGATAAGGAAGATTCTGTCGTTGGCTCAGCAGTTGAGCAAGTTTACCTGCTGCTAGTGCCAATGTTCTGCGAATGCGAGCACTCCTGCTAGTGAAATAACATTTTTGGATTCCGTATTGCATAGATAGGATTCGGGTTTTCCACTCCTGATAGGAAGGAGGAAGATAAGCTACACAACATTTGGAACGGTACACTACACACTAACCCAATCGAGATATTTATATCGCCATAGGTTTTCAATCGAAGACTGGGTTCTTTCCTGTGATAAGATTAATTAGAATAGATTATGTTTTATAAAAGAAAAGCAAAAAACCATCTTAGGAGCTCCAATAGAATTGGATCGCGGGTTCTAACCGATGTTTTCGGAACAGTAGAAGAAAAAGCACTTACGAAACAGCCTTATGAAATTGCATATGATAGAGTTTCTTTCAAATCAGTAGAATACCCGATTGGGGTAGAAAACTGACGGTGAAAGAGTAGGCACTTTCAAAGAAAGTCCTGTACCAGAAGTTGGTCTGATAATGGCTCCTCGATTTTCATTTGAGTTTAGGACTGCCATTTCGATCGATCAGGATTTCACGTAAGACAGAAGAGTTGGACTAGAAAGTCCAGTACCAGGGTCAAATATTTTAGTATAAGTTGAGTTCCTACTCAGGCACTTGGAATATTCCCCGAGGTCCGAAACTAACCGCTTTGGGCAAGGGAGTTGGTTTTACAAGTCTGGTCGAGAAATATCGTAAA